CCAGGTGGGTGTGACTGTGGACGGACACCAGGTGAAAGGGAGTGTGGACAGACACCAGGTGACAGGGAGTGTGGACAGATACCAGGTGGGTGTGACTGTGGACAGACACCAGGTGGTAGGGAGTGTGGACAGACACCAGATGGGAGGGAGTGTGGACAGATACCAGGTGGGTGTGACTGTGGACAGACACCAGGTGGGTGGGACTGTGGACAGATACCAGGTGGGTGGGACTGTGGACAGATACCAGGTTGGTGTGACTGTGGACAGATACCAGGTTGGTGTGACTGTGGACAGACACCGGGTGGGAGGGACTGTGGACAGACACCAGGTGGGAGGGAGTGTGGACAGACACCAGGTGGGTGTGACTGTGGACAGACACCATGTTGGTGTGACCGTGGACAGACACCAGGTGGGAGGGACTGTGGACAGACACCAGGTTGGTGTGACTGGACAGACACCAGGTGGGAGGGAGTGTGGACAGACACCAGGTAGGAGGGACTGTGGACAGACACCAGGTGACAGGGAGTGTGGACAGACACCAGGTGGGAGGGAGTGTGGACAGATACCAGGTGGGTGTGACTGTGGACAGATACCAGGTGGGTGTGACTGTGGACAGACACCAGGTGACCGGTGACAGGGAGTGTGGACAGACACCAGGTGGAAGTGACTGTGGACAGACACCAGGTGACAGGGAGTATGGACAGACACCAGGTGGGAGGGACTGTGGACAGATACCAGGTAGGTGGGACTGTGGACAGACACCAGGTGGGAGGGACTGTGGACAGATACCAGGTGGGAGGGACTGTGGATAGACACCAGGTAGGTTGGACTGTGGACAGACACCAGGTGGGTGTGACTGTGGAAAGATACCAGGTGGGTGTGACTGTAGACAGACACCAGGTGACTGGTGACAGGGAGTGTGGACAGACACCAGGTGGGTGTGACTGTGGACAGATACCAGGTTGGTGTGACTGGACAGACACCAGGTGGGAGGGAGTGTGGACAGACACCAGGTTTGGAGGGAGTGTGGACAGACACCAGGTGGGTGTGACTGTGGACAGATACCAGGTTGGTGTGACTGGACAGACACCAGGTGGGAGGGAGTGTGGACAGACACCAGGTAGGAGGGACTGTGGACAGACACCAGGTGCCAGGGAGTGTGGACAGACACCAGGTGGGTTTGACTGTGGACAGATACCATGTGGGTGTGACTGTGGACAGACACCAGATGGGAGGGAGTGTGGACAGAAATCAGGTGGGTGTGACTGTGGACAGATACCAGGTTGGTGTGACTGTGGACAGACACCAGGTGACCGGTGACAGGGAGTGTGGACAGACACCAGGTGGAAGTGACTGTGGACAGACACCAGGTGACAGGGAGTATGGACAGACACCAGGTGGGAGGGACTGTGGACAGATACCAGGTAGGTGGGACTGTGGACAGACACCAGGTGGGAGGGAGTGTGGACAGACACCAGGTGGGAGGGACTGTGGACAGATACCAGGTGGGTGGGACTGTGGACAGACACCAGGTGGGTGTGACTGTGGACAGACACCCTGGTGGGTGTGACTGTGGACAGACACCAGGTTGGTGTGACTGTGGACAGACACCAGGTGGGAGGGACTGTGGACAGACACCAGGTTGGTGTGACTGGACAGACACCAGGTGGGAGGGAGTGTGGACAGACACCAGGTAGGAGGGACTGTGGACAGACACCAGGTGACAGGGAGTGTGGACAGACACAAGGTGGGTGTGACTGTGGACAGATACCATGTGGGTGTGACTGTGGACAGACACCAGATGGGAGGGAGTGTGGACAGAAATCAGGTGGGTGTGACTGTGGACAGATACCAGGTGGGTGTGACTGTGGACAGACACCAGGTGACCGGTGACAGGGAGTGTGGACAGACACCAGGTGGAAGTGACTGTGGACAGACACCAGGTGACAGGGAGTATGGACAGACACCAGGTGGGAGGGACTGTGGACAGATACCAGGTAGGTGGGACTGTGGACAGACACCAGGTGAAAGGGAGTGTGGACAGACACCAGGTGGGAGGGACTGTGGACAGATACCAGGTGGGTGGGACTGTGGACAGACACCAGGTAGGTTGGATTGTGGACAGACACCAGGTGGGTGTGACTGTGGAAAGATACCAGGTGGGTGTGACTGTAGACAGACACCAGGTGACTGGTGACAGGGAGTGTGGACAGACACCAGGTGGGTGTGACTGTGGACAGATACCAGGTTGGTGTGACTGGACAGACACCAGGTGGGAGGGAGTGTGGACAGACACCAGGTTTGGAGGGAGTGTGGACAGACACCAGGTGGGTGTGACTGTGGACAGATACCAGGTTGGTGTGACTGGACAGACACCAGGTGGGAGGGAGTGTGGACAGACACCAGGTAGGAGGGACTGTGGACAGACACCAGGTTTGGAGGGAGTGTGGACAGACACCAGGTGGGTTTGACTGTGGACAGATACCAGGTGGGTGTGACTGTGGACAGACACCAGATGGGAGGGAGTGTGGACAGAAATCAGGTGGGTGTGACTGTGGACAGATACCAGGTGGGCGTGACTGTGGACAGACACCAGGTGACCGGTGACAGGGAGTGTGGATAGACACCAGGTGGAAGTGACTGTGGACAGACACCAGGTGACAGGGAGTATGGACAGACACCAGGTGGGAGGGACTGTGGACAGATACCAGGTAGGTGGGACTGTGGACAGACACCAGGTGAAAGGGAGTGTGGACAGACACCAGGTGGGAGGGACTGTGGACAGATACCAGGTGGGTGGGACTGTGGACAGACACCAGGTAGGTTCGACTGTGGACAGACACCAGGTGGGTGTGACTTTCGAAAGATACCAGGTGGGTGTGACTGTAGACAGACACCAGGTGACTGGTGACAGGGAGTGTGGACAGACACCAGGTGGGTGTGACTGTGGACAGATACCAGGTTGGTGTGACTGGACAGACACCAGGTGGGAGGGAGTGTGGACAGACACCAGGTGACAGGGAGTGTGGACAGACACCAGGTGGGTGGGAGTGTGGACAGACACCAGGTGACAGTGAGTGTGGACAGACACCAGGTGGGTGTGACTGTGGACAGACACCAGGTTGGTGTGACTGGACAGACACCAGGTGGGAGGGAGTGCGGACAGACACCAGGTGACAGTGAGTGTGGACAGACACCAGGTGACAGGGAGTATGGACAGACACCAGGTGGGAGGGACTGTGGACAGATACCAGGTAGGTGGGACTGTGGACAGACACCAGGTGAAAGGGAGTGTGGACAGACACCAGGTGGGAGGGACTGTGGACAGATACCAGGTGGGTGGGACTGTGGACAGACACCAGGTAGGTTGGACTGTGGACAGACACCAGGTGGGTGTGACTGTGGAAAGATACCAGGTGGGTGTGACTGTAGACAGACACCAGGTGACTGGTGACAGGGAGTGTGGACAGACACCAGGTGGGTGTGACTGTGGACAGATACCAGGTTGGTGTGACTGGACAGACACCAGGTGGGAGGGAGTGTGGACAGACACCAGGTTTGGAGGGAGTGTGGACAGACACCAGGTGGGTGTGACTGTGGACAGATACCAGGTTGGTGTGACTGGACAGACACCAGGTGGGAGGGAGTGTGGACAGACACCAGGTAGGAGGGACTGTGGACAGACACCAGGTTTGGAGGGAGTGTGGACAGACACCAGGTGGGTTTGACTGTGGACAGATACCAGGTGGGTGTGACTGTGGACAGACACCAGATGGGAGGGAGTGTGGACAGAAATCAGGTGGGTGTGACTGTGGACAGATACCAGGTGGGCGTGACTGTGGACAGACACCAGGTGACCGGTGACAGGGAGTGTGGATAGACACCAGGTGGAAGTGACTGTGGACAGACACCAGGTGACAGGGAGTATGGACAGACACCAGGTGGGAGGGACTGTGGACAGATACCAGGTAGGTGGGACTGTGGACAGACACCAGGTGAAAGGGAGTGTGGACAGACACCAGGTGGGAGGGACTGTGGACAGATACCAGGTGGGTGGGACTGTGGACAGACACCAGGTAGGTTCGACTGTGGACAGACACCAGGTGGGTGTGACTTTCGAAAGATACCAGGTGGGTGTGACTGTAGACAGACACCAGGTGACTGGTGACAGGGAGTGTGGACAGACACCAGGTGGGTGTGACTGTGGACAGATACCAGGTTGGTGTGACTGGACAGACACCAGGTGGGAGGGAGTGTGGACAGACACCAGGTGACAGGGAGTGTGGACAGACACCAGGTGGGTGGGAGTGTGGACAGACACCAGGTGACAGTGAGTGTGGACAGACACCAGGTGGGTGTGACTGTGGACAGACACCAGGTTGGTGTGACTGGACAGACACCAGGTGGGAGGGAGTGCGGACAGACACCAGGTGACAGTGAGTGTGGACAGACACCAGGTGACAGGGAGTATGGACAGACACCAGGTGACAGTGAGTGTGGACAGACACCAGGTAGGTGTGACTGTGGACAGACACCAGGTGGGTGTGACTGTGGACAGACACCAGGTGGGTGTGACTGTGGACAGACACCAGGTGACAGTGAGTGTGGACAGATACCAGGTGGGTGTGACTGTGGACAGACACCAGGTGGGTGTGACTGTGGACAGACACCAGGTGGGTGTGACTGTGGACAGACACCAGGTGACAGGGATTGTGGACAGACACCAGGTGGGTGTGACTGTGGACAGACACCAGGTGACAGGGAGTGTGGACAGACACCAGGTGACAGGGAGTATGGAAAGACACCAGGTGACAGGGAGTATGGACAGATACCAGGTGACAGGGAGTGTGGACAGACACCAGGTGATATGGAGTGTGGACAGACACCAATTAGGAGAGACTGCACTCATAGTTCTCTAGGTGAGATAAGGAGAATAATATTTCTCATTTGGTAGGATAAATAGTCTTTTTGTTTACTGTTAGGAATATTCTTTCTTCCAGAATGAATGGGGTGATAAACTGACCCCATCTGTAATAGACCACTTCTTGTCTGAGATCCCTGACCGGATGACAGCCTCAGACATACAGGGGTGGTTGCTGACATCCCTCATACCCCACATTGGTACCAAGCTGCCCCATGCATTGGTAAGTTGTGATCTTGATTCATGCATTGGTAAGGTTGCCTTGATCTGATGTTGTGAAGTACTCCCAGTACTCCCAGTATACAAGACACTCCTAGTGCCACATTTGGTACAGTCCCCGGCTTGCTTTGCCCCAATGATGTTAGGTAACCTGACAATGACATACACAATGACACCCTCACATCAACATCTGTACAAATATGCCTGTGCACATGTAGGTTGTAGGCTTGCCTTGAAATGATGGGGCTAGATTATAAAGGTTATGATATGTATAGGGATGGCTTCAGAAGGTTTAAATGATGTCATATTGCTATTGTCATTGCAGAGAAGAAGGATTTATTTCACTGTTAAGTTGAGGTGAAATGATGCAGTTTTCATGCGCCGATACGATACATGGTACATTTTATTCTGTATCAGTACAAGACGACCGGCTGCTAAAATATATTACTGCACACACACACACACACGCACACACACACACGCCACACACGCGCACACACGCACGCACACGCGCGCACACGCGCGCACACACACACACACACACACACACACACACACACACACACACACACACACACACACACACACACACACACACACACACAGAGGCAGTCAAAAATCGCAAAATGTTTTGTAATCATGTTTAGTACTTAAAAAAAGCCACAAGAAACAAGTGTCTACAGCTAGCTTTTCCTTTTGAACCTGCTCTGAAATATTGACATAATTTGACATAAACTATCTCGATATATATCATATTGTGACCTTTCTGTATCGTTTCACCTCTACTGTTAAATTAGACTACTTTAACTGTTAATGTCATTTTTCATTTTTATTTCCAGTTCAACATTGTCAGCTGGGTTATTCAAAAGGCTCTCAACATGGAACTCCTTGAAAAGGTAAGCATTCTGTCTGTTTAGTTCACTGTGGTATTTCCCTATATCAGACCACACGCTGGGGATTCAGGATTAAACTTGTTCCCCAGTATCCCATGCATGTAATAAGAGATGACAAAATTTACCGTACGATGAAGCTTGGTCACTTAGTTGATTGTGTGTCATCGTACCACGACTGTGTGGGTCGGTGCTCATAATATCAATCATTGGTTTATCAGAACCAGACAGGTTGCAATAATATAGCTGGATTATTGCTGAGTGTTAAACAGCACGCTATAGTTGAAACCTCCTTTCTTCATATGAACAGCGGGGGCACGGGTGGCCCAGTCGTCTAAGGCGCCGCGATTCGCTGTGCAGACATGCGTCCCTTGGGCACGCCAGAAACCTATGATTGTGGGTTCGAATCCTGGTTCGCCCCGATTATGTTTCTAGGTTTGTCAGCACCATACCCGTGCTCGTGGGTTTCACCGAAGTGGTTAAAGTCTGAGACCTGCATCACTTCGGGCTTTCCTCCCACAATTAAGCTGACACGCCGTGATATGACTGAAAAACTGTTAAAAGCGGTGTTAAACCCAACTCACTCACTCACTCATATGAACACCTGAGCAAGTAATTTACACTGAAACATTAAATGGGAAAACTCAATTGTGTCAAAAAACATACCATCCTCTTCAACTGTTCCTTTCTGCTAGCATTGCCAGTAGGTCTTACTTTGATGTTTTAATGCTTGACTGAGTGTCGTATTTTGTTTGTTTGTTGTTTAACGCTGCACTCAGCAATATTCCAGCTATGTGATGGCTATCTGTAATTAATCAAGTCTGTACGAGACAGTCCAGTGATTAATATCATGAGCATCTACGCAGTTGTGATATGACCTGCATCAACTAGGTCAGCAAGCCTGACCACCCAATCCTGTTAGTCACCTCTTATGACAAGCATGAAATTGCAGCCATAGTCATATATCATTCCTCTATTTTAAGTTATGGAATTAGAACATTGAGCAGGACCAAGGTAATAACTGTGGCAGTACTCGACATCTTTCAGACGGCATGGCCAGAGAACGCCCTGGGCTTCCTTCAGGAGACACACAGGAGTGTCAGTGAGGCTCTAAAACTGACGACCACGTCAGCACATAATCCATCCGAAAACGTCAGGAAGGTAATGAAAGATTATTTGATGAAGGTGATGTGTAGTGTTAGCTGTTTCAGTACTCAAGAATTAATGTGGTACTAAAGGAACTCACATTATGCCACTTCATATACACAATGTGTTGTGTTGTGTTGTTGACAATATACCTGTACTGTTTGTGTAGCTGATGATTTGACCAACAATGCATAATCATAGCAAGACATGTCCAGGTAATGCCCATGTACTGACAAACAGCCTGTGTTGCAGAGTGTAAACAAGAGTGAGAAGACCCTGCAGCCTCTGCAGGAGATGATGACGTCCCTGAAGCATCTGTGTAATCTCCACAACAAGTACAAGTGTCACCTTCGACTTACTGAGTTTCTCAAGGTCAGCAACTTTCAGTCAACCAATCAGTCGGGGGCTCTGTACGTTGGTGCCAAGCGCCCATAGGATCTGACTGAAATGAGAATTCGGTGGTCACAGTATGATGGCCAATAGTGTCATTTTGCTCAGACTGTGTGGGATCTACGGATGTCATGATTCACAGATGTATGACTGCATTGCAAATTTACACCTAGCGATCTGATACATGATACGCCTACCTATGTATCGATTCATCTTTTTTCAAAATGTATTTTAAGTTTTCCAGTAACCTGACTTGATACCTACTGGGACTACCATTAACTTATCACATCCTGTGAAACAAAATGCAAAGTCTGATTACAGAATACCATAAGAACAAACACTGGTGCGTGTGTGCGTGCGTCTGACCACCTGAGTCTGACCACCCGACCAACTACATCACCACTTGGGACCAGCACAGGCTGGGGACACATTCACCACATGTTACATGTTGTCTTCCTTGCAGGAGACGACGGAGAGTGTGGCTTTCCGCATGCTGGACAAGGTGGTGGCCCTAGAACTGATTGTGCCGACCCTGGAGCGACAGATCCGACCCTACATGCGGGAACACAGGCTCAACGAAGATCAGGTCTTCTCCAAGTATATCAAGGTAAGGAAACTGCTGCTCAATATTGTTTGCAGCTTTTTTCATGATGGTTATTGTGAGTGTTATGACTATTTAACCTTTATAGTTTCAAACTGTCATATACAGTCAGACTCTTGAACACATACTGTTATTGATATTGCTGTTTGTGATGTCCGGGCAGGATCTGCTGGAGCGGACAAGCAACATCACCTCCTATACAGGGGAGTCCCCCTGGGAGACCAAGGCCATCGCTGTCATCGACTTCATCAAAGGCCTGAGGGTGAGGCTAAACACACAGTTGGATTTCAGTCTATAGTCTTTAGCCACCAGTTCAAAATTTGATGTCAGATAAAAAACTTAGTTCCTTGAGTTTTGAGACATACCCCCTCATCTCACAAAAAAAGTTAATTCTGAAAATGTTGAATTCCTGAGTATCGTTGCCTCCTTTGTCATGGATTATTGTGTTTTTCAGAGGTTTATCGACTGAAGTTTATTTTCCAGGTGTTTTTTTAATAATTTGTAGAGTTTTTCGAAATCAAATCTGCCATTCTATAGTTTGCACTGCATTAGAAGGACTTACCACTAGTGCTGGTAAAAACCCAACAAAACCCTACCTCATGGAAAGATTGGATGTATTTAATGACAGTTCCTAACAGCATATGAATATGGATAGATTCAGAATTTGCTTGGTTTAGTTACTATATACAATATTGAGAAATCAGGTTAGTTGATTTTATAAATGGGAAAACTTGCCTGGCCATTAACACCATCCCCCCACCCCTAAACTTAAATAATTAAAATTTGTATCCATCAAACTTTTGAACTGATGCCTTAAGACAATGTGTTTGAAAATGATTGGGGTACAAACCCTGAGTCTAGTAAATGTATTTGGACTGGTAAGATTTAGTTAATAGTAATCATTTTGTTAAGTTGAAATCTATTGTAAGAGATGCTAGTGAAGACGTTTGAATTTGTAGATATTTTTGGCACAAACTGCAAAGTTTTGATAAAACAGCACGACCAGCAGGCTAATAGCTCACAGTAAACGTACAGAGCAGCTCAGGGCCTTGATATTCAAAATGTGGTTGCTGTAGGAGAAAGGTGAGGCAATCCTGGAGGTGATGAAGTGTGCGTCACTGCCACTGAGTGACAACGTGGACAAGCTGATACAGAGGGGCTTACAGCTGGATCATCCCATGTAAGTGTAGACGACACTCAGTTCATTATCCTCTGCAATGCAGTGGAAGGAGGATATAGGAACGGGTGCTGTCCTTCTGGCCGTCACGTTTCGTCTCTGGAGCAGGCCTCAACAAGCATGAGAGATATCTTAACTAAACTTGGCACATAGATATGTCTAGGGGTAAACCGGTGATTTTGATAGTTTGGGATTTTTAATAAAATTGTTTTTCGAGTTTCCATAGCAATGACTTTGACTTAGACTGAAAATGGCGGTAGTGCTGCTTTCCGTAGCAGTTCTTGAAAACTGTACAATATTTCTTCACCAAATGTGGTACATAGATAGGTCTGGTAATAAACTGGTGCCTTTTGATAGTTTTGGATTTGAAATTTATTTTTTTTCGAGTTTCCATATCAACGACTTTGACTGAAAATGACAGTAGTACTTGTTTCCGGAGCAGATCTTGAAAACCATACAATATTTCTTGCCTTGCAAACATCCGGACATGTCATATTGGCGGGGGATATGAGTATTTCCTGCTTGTTCCTATCCATTATCGGATTCATGAATTTTCACTGCCCACTACTTTACTACCACTGTGACCTACATGAAGTCTACCGGCTGTTGACAAGTGGCACAACTCACTTTTGTAACTTCATCTATGCATGTCTTACATTGTGCTTTCTCTGAATCTGTGTGCTAATTATTAATAGTGATGTCCTTGTTTGAAACAAATATTTAACACTCGGTATAACCCTGGTTTATCCGTACTTGATGTTTATGTTCAGTGTGAAAACGCTTAAAGAGGAGTGTCACATGCTGGAGGTGAAGAAGCTGATGCAGAAGTATGGCATGAAAAATCTCAATCTACCAACGAGAAGTAAAATACAGGTTAGAAACAAATTGCATTCTTGAGGAATTTTAATATAACACATTTGGGGGTATTTAGTTGTTGTTTTTTGTTTTCCTTGTGGTTACCCTAATCAACATAATCAATACTTACATGGTGATGGCCTTGTTATTGTAAGGTATGGGTTAATCAATTTATTCTTGGTTGAGCATGCTTTCACAGAGTAAACAAGTTTGTTTGTTTGTTTATTTGTTTGTTTATTTGTTCATTTATTCTTCTTTTACAAAAGCTTGTTATACAAGTAGAGGAATAAAGTAAAAAGAATCGATACGAAGTAAGAAAAATTTGATGTTTCTGTTGATACTTAAACAGTATGCCACAAATATTGTGAAAAATTGACATAGAGATTGCAAAATACAAATACCTCTAAGAAAATAAACAACAATTTATATGTCTGTATGTTGTACATTGTAGCAAATGATGTACCACATCCTGGTGCGTGACATGGTGATGTGTATGACCGAGGCAGCTTATATTGTTGTACGTTGTAGCAAATGATGTACCACATCCTGGCGCGTGACATGGCAACGTGTATGACGGATGCAGTCCAGCTGATCACCACGTATGAGATGAAGCTGGAGACAGAGCTGTACTTCTTCCGACTCCAGTGGCTGGTAGCTCACAACAGGGTCAGTAACCATCAAGTAATTAATGATTCTCACATAGTACCTTGTAAAATGTAATTAGACTGTTACTGGACTTATGCTGCTTTCCTGTCCACATGGCACTCATGAAGATCCGGGGTAGAATAAGTCTTCAGCAACCCATGCTTGCCGTAAAAGGCGACTATGCTTGTCGCTAGAGGTTACTAACGGGATTGGGTGGTCAGGCTGACTTGGTTGATGCATGTCATCGTATCCCAATTGTGTTGATTGATGCTCATGATGTCAATCACTTGATTGTCTGGTCCAGACTCGATTATTTACAGACCGTCGTCATATTGCTCGAATATTGCTGAGTGCGGCGTTAAACTAAAAACAAACATGAAGATGTGTAGGTGTGCCCTTTGGAAATTAAATGTGCCAGCAACAAGAACACATCTGATCCATCTTCAAACTCAGTAAACTCAGTGAATGAGCCATGACCAAGATAATAATTTGTTTGTAATCTAGAAGTTTGACCCCTTTGTTTTCTTTGAGATTATTAAGATCCTATTGAATTTCTGCACCCCAGGTTTATTTTATGAATCATACTGTGCATGAGGCTTGTTCATGTGTTGATTTTACATTTTGTCCAGATTGTTTTTGGGAAAGAAATTTTTTTAATCGCTTTGCAAATATATATCATCACAAGGTATTTTTTCCAAGTATGATTTCTAAGTGTTTTACCCAGGCACCAGGTTCATATTTTAACTGTGCCTTTATGGTATTAACCATTCGATTGAAGCATTTATTGATTTGTAGACATTTTAAGAAGATTATGCCATAATTTTCCCCCTAAATCACCAGTTTCCCACAATGGATACCCTGTTTCAGCTGGATGATTATTTTGACCTCCTGAAGACCTTGACCCCTGACCTCTCCCTTCACTGTGGACGGCGGATCATCATTCTGGCACAAGTCAAGCTCAACACCATCATCTGTGACACACAGGTAGCCACTTTATCCTCACACCAGACAATCCATTGAGCCTTAGAGCATTTACTCACATGACTCATTCTCATTTGGTATATAATATTGAGGGTATTCACTCCATTTTTACTCTCTTCGGTTCAGAGTATAAGGTATTTTTAAACCAACGAGAAGATATTTTTTTAAAAGTCATCTTTGGAATACCATTTGAAAGGCCCTCTTAATTTTGCAATTGTTTTATGTGTTTATTGCTCTGTTTGTTGTTTTGGATCTTTAGCCCCAGCTATGTTATGTAGACATTTGCATGTAATTCCAGAATGCCCTCAGAGGCACTTTACAAGTTTATAACGTCGAAAAGTCATCAGTTGTGGTTGTGTATGTAGTGTGTTTTTGTGCATGTTATATGCAGATAAACAGCATATTTGGACCACTGTATGATGTAACTTTGAGCGCAACAGATTTAGTCTATTATTACCATGGTCAGTGGTTTAGGATGCCACAATGTACTGTGCACTGTACATATGTATTTTTCCCCCTCTTGGAGCCATCAGTTCATGCTGTAATTGGACTGCTGATTCTCACACTCACACACTTCTGTCTCAGGATATCCTGGATGTGAAGAGATTGTTCACTGAGGCTGCTGTTGGCACTGCACGTCTGCTACTGCAAGGTATGGGGAAATTGAATGTTTGGAAGGTTATAGCATGATATGTGTGAAACTTGGAAATGTCTCATCCGGGTCCAGCTATGATCGTAGCTCTACGACTGTCGTAGGTCTTTGTTAAAACATGGTAGTTACGATTGTAACTACGATCACTTTGTGGAGTGGGGCCCTGACTCGAAGTAGACTAGCAGTAATTGTGTACTATTGTCCCACATATCACCCATCAACAATGAAGGTCTTAACGGATTTACCTCTGATATATCAAAACTAGGGTGGCTGAACACTGTACTGAGCTGGCGTTGTAGTGAGCTGCGCGGTTCAAAAGCAGGATGCATGTATCAGAGCTCCAGATAAGCTTTTGGTGTTGTGGGTATTTTACCCATGCATTTTAAAATCATTGGGTATCAGTAATTCTATCTGGGTATTCAAATTTCTGTTACCCACTAGTTTTTACACATGTGGGTATTTAAGCTAAATATTTAAAAACACTATTCATCTAGTCCCTGCAAACTGGTGTCGTGTGGGTTCGAGAGCTTTATAGGACTCAAGAATACCACGATACTTCCACAAGAAAGTGTGATGGCAAATGATCATGATGTAATTGTCATCGATGAGTTTGGCAAGGTTGACGGAATGCCCGTTTATAATTTCAAAATAAGTTGCTGATTTGCTAATCGAATTCACAATATTTTGATGATACGCACAAGTTTTATTTTTGTAGCGTATCTGTAATGTTCGTTGCGTATTTGATACGCTTGGATTTGATTTTACTGCATATCTCTGCATTTCTGATGCGTATTTCACGCAGATACGTAGCTTATCTGGAGCTCTGATGTATGGTTTTCTATGGGTGTTTAACAGCTCTTGTCATACTGTTGACCCGAAAATGAAGGTCATCTCCAAAGAATGTATAAAAAAGAGTTGATTGAAAATACAGACTTACTTGAAGACTCAATCACAACTCTAGCTTTATTAATCATTGTGAATTAGGATTCATTTCATAAAATAATCTCTTTGAGGATGTTTACAATTTCAGAATTAATTTGGGGGGAGGTGGGGTGTTAATTCTTTTAGCTGATATTGTAGATTTGAAATGTTCACGTCATGTGCATCAGTTGTACAGGAAATAGAGGTGTCTCTAGTATACTTGAGTAGCGTCAGTTATACAGGGGACAGAGGTGTCTCTAGTATAATTAGCATCAGTATTTCATGTGAATAGCATCGTATGCTGATTGTGCTATGTTTCTCCACAGATGTACAGGAGCATGTTAATTGTGAGATCTACGAGGAAATGAGAAACGACTACAGTGAGATGACAGCTCTCTTGGCTCTACAGGTCAGAAATAGAAATATATTTACATGTATGTGTACTCCAACATAACAAAAACTTATCAGGTGAATATATTGATATCTGTAAATTGATGGAAATTATGATAATATTGACTGTTCTGCTTTAAACATGTTAACCATACAGTGTACACAAAACGTGAAATGCTTCTTCTTTTGCTTCGGTGTTACAGTGTGAGAGGGGCGGTCGGGTAGCCTAGTGTTAAAGCGTTCGCTCGTCACGCCGAAGACCCGGGTTCGATTCCCGACATGGGTACAATGTGTGAAGCCCATTTCTGGTGTCCCCCGCCGTGATATTGCTGGAATATTGCTAAAAGCGGCGTAAAACCAAACTCACTCACTCACTACAGTGTGAGAACAACAAGTATAATTAGCAAGTTGTTATCCATAGATTGTGTTTACTTTGTGATGTAAGTCACAATGTTGTAAAGTGTTGGTTTTTATTAAATTGCTGCTGTAACAGTGTGAGTACAACAAGTTCCTGATGTTGTCCGAGTACCGGTGTCGGACGTCCAGGGAGGCTGTGCTCATCTCCTACCTCACAGACTTCTTCACATCACAAGCATCAACAAAGGTGAGGCTCTGCATTGACATGGACATTTTTATTCCTCCGGCATATAATGCAGGGGGATATAGTCATCCTGTGGTCAGTCTGACCATCCATATTTTGTTTCCAGAGCATAACTTGAAAACCGTGAAAGATGTTTCATCCAAACTTACACATATTTACCAGGTGGTGCCTTTTGTTATTTAGAAATTTTTCAAAATTTCATGTTTCCCAGTTTCCATGGGAACAAGTTAGACTCAGCTGAAATAAAGGTAGGTGATGTTTCCGGAGCAGAACAGAAAATCTATTCAAGATTTTTAATCCAAACTTGGCCTTTTGCAATTGATGAATTTTAAAATATTTCGTTTTTACTGTTTCGATGGCAGCTAGATTGACTTTGACTGTTTTAATTGATATTGGTGTGTTTGTTTGGTCCAAAGTAATATGTATTCTTTCATGAAGTTTTGCACACACAAAGTCCAAGTTGTCAACTGGTGCCTTTTCCTGTTAGGGATTTTTCAAAATTTTATTTTTTCTGTTTCCATGGCAACAAGTTTGACAGTGACTGTTTAGATTGGTGTGTACCTGACAGTAATTCAAAATTCCGAATTCCAATTACAGGGTATTGTTTTGATAGCTCTATAACTACTCTTGTATATGGACAGACTTCTCTCATCAAGTTGGACTTGTAACAGTCAGATTTTGTTGGGGGCCGGGGGGATTTGTCGTCTCCCGATGAGTCTTATTATTTACTGGTCACGTACCATCAACCTGGCTGTGTAAGCAATTCTGATAAAATTGTGAGTGGTCTTATTGCTGGTTATCTGTATATGAAAATGCAGCTAGTACGACTTACGAGTTTCCATTACAGTTTCCATTGTTTGTTTGTTGGTTTGTTGGTTTGTTGGTTTGTTGGTTTGTTGTTTAACGCCGCACTCAGCAATATTCCAGCTATGTGACGGTAGTCTGTAAATAATCGAGTCTGGATCAGACAATCCAGTGAGTGACATCACAAGGATCGATCCGTGCAATTGGAATACAATGCATCATCCAAGTCAATGAGTCTGACCACCCTATCCTGTAACTTGCCTCTTACGACAAGCATGGGTTGCGGAAGTCACAGATCTTCACGGGTCCAGTTCTCATTGAATTGTGTAGGATAGGAGCAGTTTATTGCCAACATACCTGTTTTCAGTTCCTTCCAGACCAGGACTTCTACCTGTTGGGGGTATTCATATCGCTGTAATGGGTGAAGTCATGAAGTAAGAGGGGCTAATTATGCTGATTACAGTAAATTCATGAAATGTTTCATAATAAAAATAATTTTACAAATATGTATTTTTTTTAGGGTGATATCAACTATGCAAAAGTTTACAGGTAGGTCAGCAATATTATTCAATATTTCTTGTGCCATGTATACCATATCGTCCGATAACCCTGATGGGAAGCCTGGCAGAATAGGTCCCCAGTACCCCATGCTTGGTGTAAAATCTTTCTAATGATGATCAGGGTGTTACAATATGTGACCTGGAATATTCCCAACTGCAGTGTAAAACTAAATTCACTCATTGGTTATGTTATTTAGTCGACTCTCTTAAATGGTAACTCAAGGTACTGAGCCAAGAGTATCTACTTATCCTGTTTGCCACCTACCTGACAACTTAGTACACTTCTAATTTCACATTAGTACAAAGTAATTGTACTGTTTTATTACAAATTGAATGATGGAACAAGTTCAGAAATAAATCTCCGAAGTGAGATCAAAGTGCATTTTTCAGGGCCGGGAATTTTCCACAGACTTTGTTATGTTAAGGGTCACTTTTGTGATACATGCCATTACAATATATATGCATCAGTTATATGGTCTTACAGTCCACAACTAACTTACAGTGTTTTTGGTTTTTTAGAAAGAACCCATTCTCATCCCTGAGATTCATTCGTCAGTGGTTGCTGCCACCATTGAAATTGTCTTTTCTTGCTAACACCAGTTTCCAAGGCACTGTTATTCCTGAATTATGTGACAAGAAATATTATGTGTTATAACCTCTTTCTTTACATACACAACATTTCAGGGCTACTTGCCCCGTAATCAGGTGAAAGAGTTTTCACTTGATGCGATGACGAGTATAGACAGCAAAAACCAATCAGTATCCGTGTTAGTGCATCAAGGGCAGTCAGTTCTGATTGGAAACTGACCGCAACAGTTAGCCATGGGGTACATGTGGTCAATGGTCTACCTACATTGTTCACAGACTGGCCAGTTTGCTGGAAGTGCCTGTGGTCCATCTCCACGGTCAGCTGGCCATCAAGGCATCAGGGACAGGTGACATGGAGACAGCGGTCAAACACTGCAGGTGAGATGTGGTAGCAACAATCGGAGGGGAAGAAAAGGTTTCCAGGGCCCCGTTCCACAAAGCCATCCTAGCGCAAAGGTGAACTCCCATACTTACATAGGCTTATGAGGGCGGTCGGGTAGCCTAGTGGTTAAAGCGTTCACTCGTCACGCCGAAGACCCGGGTTCGATTCCCGACATGGGTACAATGTGTGAAGCCCATTTCTGGTGTCCCCCGCCGTGATATTGCTGGAATATTGCTAATAGCGGCGTAAAACCATACTCACTCACTCACTCACTCACTCACTCACATAGGCTTTTGATCACCATAGCGCTGAGATCACCTTGTGGAATGGGCCTGTATGACAAGTTTGTTTACAGTGTAATCAGGGAAGAGTTGTCACGCAAAAAAACAAACACTGCACGCCAACACTATATAATTTCAAAAGTCATTGCCTGAGAACCAATTCTTTTATGTTTTTAAGCCTTAGTGACTCAGTCCTTGTTACCCAGGTGCTAACACTTGGTTCACTTGGTTATTTGTAGTAAACTGCTGGAAAGTGACCCATCCTGCTCCACAGCGGAGACCCTGTACAAGGTCGCGCTGTCCTTCCTGCAGCTGTGTCAGAAGAAGGAGGACGACACACTGGAGGGCAGCAGCAAGCTGCGGGATCTCTCCTACACAGCTGTCGAACTGGCCGGTCTCGCTCTCACCATGTGCAGCCCAGGTCAGCTGTCTCAACATAGAACCCCATGGGGGGAAGAATCTGACCGAGTACCTCATGCTTATTTCAACATAGGACCCAATGGAGATTTGGAGTAGAATAGGTCCCCAGTACCTCATGCTTGTCTCAACATAGGACCCCATGGGGGGAAGAATCTGACCCCAGTACCTCATGCTTATTTCAACATAGGACCCAATGGAGATTTGGGGTAGAATAGGTCCCCAGTACCTCATGCTTGACTCAACATAGAACCCTATGGGAATTCTGGATAGAATAGGTCCCCAGTACCTCATGCTTGTTTCAACACAGGACCCCATGGAGATTCAGGGTAAAATAGGTCCCCAGTACCTCATGCTTGTTTCAACAAAGGTCCTCATAGGAATTTGTGGTAAAATAGGTCCCCAGTACCTCATGCTTGTTTCAACATAGGACCACATGGGAATTGGGGGTTGAATAGGTCCCCAGTACCTCATGCTTGTTTCAACATAGGACCACATGGGAATTGGGGGTTGAATAGGTCCCCAGTACCTCATGCTTGTTTCAACATAGGACCACATGGGAATTGGGGGTTGAATAGGTCCCCAGTACCTCATGCTTGTTTCAACATAGGACCACATGGGAATTGGGGGTTGAATAGGTCCCCAGTACCTCATGCTTGTTTCAACATAGGACCACATGGGAATTGGGGGTTGAATAGGTCCCCAGTACCTCATGCTTGTTTCAACATAGGACCACATGGGAATTGGGGGTTGAATAGGTCCCCAGTACCTCATGCTTGTTTCAACACAGGACCCCATGGAGATTCAGGGTAGAATCGGTCCACAGCACCCCAAACTTGTTGCAACATAGGACCTATGGAGATTCAGGGTACAATAGGTCCCCAGTACCCCAAACTTGTTGCAACATAGGACCCTATGGAGATTCAGGGTACAATAGGTCCACAGCACCCCAAACTTGTTGCAACATAGGACCTATGGAGATTCAGGGTACAATAGGTCCCCAGCACCCCAAACTTGTTGCAACATAGGACCTATGGAGATTCAGGGTACAATAGGTCCACAGCACCCCAAACTTGTTGCAACATAGGACCTATGGAGATTCAGGGTACAATAGGTCCCCAGCACCCCAAACTTGTTGCAACATAGGACCTATTGAGATTCAGGGTAGAATAGGTCCACAGCACCCCAAACTTGTTGCAACATAGGACCTATGGAGATTCAGGGTACAATAGGTCCCCAGCACCCCAAACTTGTTGCAACATAGGACCTATGGAGAATCAGGGTAGAATAGGTCCACAGCAAACCAAACTTGTTGCAACATAGGACCTATTGAGATTCAGGGTAGAATAGGTCCACAGCAAACCAAACTTGTTGCAACATAGGACCCAACTGTGATTTAGGGTAGAATAACTTCCCAGTTTCCCATACTACCCAATGTGGGATGTTGCCGATGGTGTGTCATCGCACCCCATTGGTGTAGATTGTTGTTCATCATATTGACCAATGGTTTCACTGACCCATGCTTGTCTCAGAAACCTCCATGTCTTTTCTAAGAATGTTTTACCAATAATTCAGTCATGTGTGGATGGAAAAGTCATAAATGATATTTGTTGAATGAGAATTGATCATGTAATCCAAGGATGGATTTATTTTCCTGCACAGATGTAGGAGATATAAAGCAACAATGATTGTGATGGTTTCAGAGCGTATGAGTGCATGTCTGGACCTGTATCGAGCCCTGTCACTGTGTCTGGATGTCAGCAGACAGTGTGAAGTCGGCGATTACTCTCAGTCTGTACAGGTAGGTAACTCTACATTTTGGGGTGAGATTCTGAGTAGAATATGCTCTGACAAATTGATTATCTCTTATCTAGTGTCTATTCCATGCATCATGTGTGGAACAGTTTGTGAGTTAAAACAAACTAAGATCCATGTGAAACTTAACTGCTCAAAGCAAACTGAACTGTTGTGAAATGCAACAATGTTTTACAATATTACGTGTTACCTTCATTGTTGCAGATTGATTGAGTTAGTTGTTTATTATGTGTCAATTACTCCTCAATAATATTTTAATACCAATGCTGAGTGTAACAGTTAATAAGTAGGTGTCTTTTTTGACATTTTGGCTTTTGATTACATATCCAGGCGAGCTGCAGTGTCACTCATTTTAATTTGTTATACCTCTATTAAAAATCTTGCAATTCCATTGGTTAATTCATGTCACATGACAAAACAATACATTTCAATGTAGACCCCGAAATCATGTGAATGACACTGACCTCAAATATTGACTCGTCACATGATCATTATTGACCTGTCACGTGATGAATATTGACTCATCTGCAAGAAAAGAAGATGGCGTCTGGTTCAACATTTCACGGTTTGCAGCTATGTTACTGTAATGAAACAGCATGGTTTAAAGGCTTCATAAACATTAAAGTGAATTTCAGAATAGCAAAACGAATGATTACTCTTGACGAGGTAGATATGCAAAAACAAGTGTTTTGATATATACTGAACAAAAATATGAGTTAGTAATCGTGAATATTTTGGGGGATAGGAAGTGACGACTGAGCACACATTTCATAAAATTATTCATGATATGTAACTTGTTTTGTTCAGTATATACGCACACTAAAACTGTGAGATTATATACAGCACTACAGAGCTCCAGATAAGCTGCGTATCTGCCTAAAATACGCATCAGAAACACGCAGTAAAATAAAATCCAAGCGTATCAAATACGCAACGAACATTACAGATTCGCTACAAAAATAAAACTTGTGCGTATCATCAAAATATTGTGAAGTAACCCTGCGTATTCGATTTGCAAATCAGCAACTTATTTTGATATTATAAACGGGCATTCCGTCAACTTTGCCAAACTCCACGATGACAGTTACATCATGATCATTTGCCATAACACTTTCTTGTGGAAGTATCGTGGTATTTTTGAGTCCTACAAAGCTCTCGAACCCACACGACACCAGTTTGCAGGGACTAGAAGAATAGAGTTTTTTAAAATTTAACTTAAATACCCACATGTGTAAAAACAAGTGGGTAACAGAATTTTGAATACCCAGATAGAATTACTGATACCCAATGATTTTAAAATGCATGGGTAAAATACCCACAACACCAAAAGCTTATCTGGAGCTCTGCCACTATGTATTACAGAGCCCCAACAACAGCATGTCGGTAGAGCAGCAGATCATCGCCAGTGAGATGCATGCTGAGTGGAACCTGTCCCCCATGTTTAAAGAAGAATCGTTAGTGATGACCTCCAGCAAGGTGCTGCCCCTCACTGTCAACTACCTGCTGGCTGTCCCATCCCTCGCTACAGGTGAACACCGCAGATGTGGGTAGCACTAGTGTGAGGGTTCCATTACAGGCACAGAAGGGTATCACTGGGCGCGAGAAAATATCATTAGATGTGTGCTTTTGGAATTTAAGTGTGCTTATAAGATGAGTGCTTTTGATTCATCTTTGTGAAAGATTTGTTGTAGTTTACAAAGTTTGCCCCTTTCCTATGGGATTGATAACATCCTTTGTCATGTTCTAAATCAGCAGGTGAATGTTCATCTTCCCGAGGCAAGGGAGTTAACTGACTTTAAAAGTCCAGTTTCCACCCTTGCCGAACTAGGCTGGAATTACTGGGCTCGATCGTTGCGCCACCAGTGGCTATTACCAATTATGTCCCTTCTAAGCCTCTCCTGTGGACCAATCAGATTCCACCTCTCGTATCACTTGCGTTTGCTTTACACAAAATGGTGGCGCTCAGTCAGGACGATCTGATCGATAATCAAGATCTATATTGTGATAAAATGGGTTTTACATCGCGAAATGCATCAAATCACGTGAGCACCTTGATTAAAAACATGAAAAGATTTGGAAAATATCTGCTGACAACAAGTTGGCGGTGCACATGCTTTGCAAATCCTGCAATCGATCGAAATCTGCACGACAGTTTATGAACCGGATTTTGATTTCGATGGGCGGTTTTGATTGGACTATGCATAGACTCGTTAGTCCAGACAAAATGTAACTCCATAATACCAGGATAGTTAGGCAAGGGTGGAAACTGGACTTTTATAGTCAGTTTACTCTCTTGCCTCGGGAAGATGGTGAATGTTGTGAATCCCACTGCAGTATGTTTGTTCATATGGTCATCAATTTCCATGTGTTTGTCAATTTGGTTGGGTCAGAAGTACCTTATACAGTTTTCATACAATATATATGGCACAGGGTATTTTTTTTTTAGAAATCTGATTTTGAAGTGTGTTCTTCAGATATTGGGAGCTTATTTTAACAGGGCCATTATGATTTTGACAGTGCCATTGGCACTCTAATACAAGGACATTTGGACCCTGGAGTACCATTAAGTATGCAATAAACTGGGGGTTCCTGGTCAAAGTAGTTCCGGTGCTGGCTGTTAGTGACAACTGAGGTGGACAGCTGGTGGTCTGTGATTTGACTGATTGCGTGTCATGGCGTATGCAATCAAAATTGCAAGAATCAGAACTGATCTTTTTGGAGAAGCATACAATATTTAGAAGCATGTTTTGAATGCCACTGAAAAGACAGTGCTGGAGACAAGGCACTATAGAAATGAATTATTATTGTGCTTTCAGTCTAGACTTGATTATTGCAGACTGCAGTCATATGGCTGTATTATTGCTGAGTGTGGCTTTAAACAGCAAACAAGATCAGAATGAAGTGGCTTTTGGATGCTGAAGTAAAAAATGTGTTTGATGATCACAAACAAACCTCACCTTTGATTCCCTACATGAGTACAAATGTTAAACGCCTTCCAAATACACAGTCCTTGGTCCTGGTAAAGTCAATGTTAACATATATGAGTTCGTCTTATCCATAGATCACTTTATGAAACAAAGCCCCGTAATATACATCCTTAATTATGAAAAGCAACTGAAAACACATGAACTCATTTCTTTTACTTACCTAATTTGCAATGCCAGGTAGCAAGGATGCTGTTGTGACGAAACTGTCGCCGTCGGTGGTGCAGGGCATGTCGGAGCCCCTCCTTCCCCTCCTCCTCCACCTGAGGGAGAACTCCCATCTGGAACTGGCCTACCGATTTGCCAGCCACATCATGTCCTGCCTCACACAGCACGTCACACAGTTCGACATGGGATTCGAACACAGCCAGGTGGGTACCATCCTCCAACCAAGCTGGCAAGTAAAGGAGCCAGGGCCAAGTGGAAGCTCCAGCAAGTCGTTAAAAACCTAATGTCTTCTCGGGGAGGTACTGCAAGGCCGACCCTTAGTTAATTTGGTAAAACAGACCCCCAAGAGCAGGTTGGCCTCACAGTACTGTCTTGGGTACATATCAATCAACTAACGAGCCAGGGCCAAGTGGAAGCTCCAGCAAGTCGTTAAAAACCTAACGTCTTCTCTGGGAGGTACTGCAAGGTCCCTCTGTTATTTTGGTAAGACAGTCCCCACAGTGCAGATTGGCCTCGCAGTACTGTCTGGGGTACATTAATCAACTAACGATTAGATAAACAATAGCAATAGCGGAATATTTTAGGGGCATATATCAAGAAGTATGAAATAGAAAATGCGTGTAAACCAGAGATTATTTTGAAGCTCATTTCATGAAATACACAGTTTTAGAAGTGACATTTTTAAACTTAGATGATTATACATGATGTATAATATTGTTTCAAACATAAGGTGGGAATTATTTTATCATTTTCTTTCCTGTAAGGATTCTGTTATGACTCTCTTTCCTATGGATCAGAAACCAGCAGAGCTGGCCAAAGTTCTTGACCACTTGACCACAGCCAAAGAAAAAGTTGCCCCACTTATGCAGGAACTCACCTTCGGCATTCTCACAAAGGTTGGTATTGTTTCATCACCATCATCATTGTACTGGATGTTGTTTGATGTTTGCTTCCAGCATACAGTATAAGTTAATATATAAACAATTTTACCTTGTCCCATCTTCCTGAGGCAAGGGCTTTAACTGACTATAAAAGTCCTTGCCCAACTAGGCTGGACTTATGGAGTTATATTATGGCTGGACTAACGAATCTATGCATAGTCCAATCAAAATCGAGTAATGAACTAGACATTCGGTTCGTAAACAACATGAATTTCAACATGCAGATTTCCAAGACATTTGTACCGCCAACTGGGCATCAACAGATATTTTGCAAATCTTTTCATGTTTTTAATCAAGGTGGCCAAGTGATCTGAAGCACTTCTTGATTATCGCTCAGATCGTCTTGACAGGGCGCCAGCATTTTGTTTGAAGCAAATGCAAGCGATATGAGTTGTAGAATCTGATTGGTCATTAGGAGGGACATAGAAGGGACATAACTCATAATAGCCACCGGTGGCACTACGATCAAGCCTGGAAATTCCAGTGTAGTTCATGAGGGTAGAAACTGGACTTTTCTAGTCAGTTGACGTCCTTGCCTTGGGAAGATGACCTTATCCTGACTCATACTTATTGCTTATCTCATATCATTTCTGAAAAGGTAGTGGGACCTTCCTGAATTAAATCATGTAGCCTTCAAATAGACAAAATAGTAACTTTATAAATTTATTGTTCTGTCATGTTTACACTGTTTTGTTTCTTCCTATTCAACCTCACCCTTATTGTTTCCTCTCTCACCATCACAGTGGTAAACGTGTCTGTAAAAGAAGTTATTAGATTTGTCGGGACAAAGTTCAGGTAACTTTTCACCATGTCCCTTAGCTATGCCAGTAACCGATGGACATGGGTTCGAATTCCAGATTCACCCTGATAATGTTTCTAGGTTTGTCAGCACCGTACACATGCTCGTGGGTTTTACCAAAGTTGTAAATACCTCAGACCTGCATCACTTTAGGCTTTCCTCCCACATCAACCTGATGAAATACTGTTGCAGCATTGCACAAAACTTACTCACTCACTTGTCTTGTTTCCTCACTCACTTGTCTTGTTTCCTCACTCACTCACTCACTCACTCACTCACTCACTCACTCACTCACTCTTGTTTCCGGTCGGGTAGCCTAGTGGTTAAAGCGTAGTGGTCCTCATGCAGAAGACCCAGGTTCAATTCCCGACATGGGTACAATGTGTGAAGCCCATTTCTGGTTTTCCCCGCCGTGATATTGCTGGAATATTGCTAAAAGTGAGGCAAACCACACTCACTCACTTGTTTCCTCCCAGATCTTCGCTCACTCACTCACTCACTCACTCACTCCATCTTGTTTCCTCCCAGATCTTCACTCACTCACTCACTCACTCACTCATTCACTCCATCTTGTTTCCTCCAAGATCTTCACTCACTCACTCACTCCATCTTTTTTTCCTCCCAGATCTTAACTCACTCACTCCATCCATCTTATTTCCTCCCAGATGTTCACTCACTCACTCACTCCATCTTGTTTCCTCCCAGATCTTCACTCACTCACTCCATCCTATTTCCTCCCAGATCTTTACTCACTCACTCACTCCATCTTGTTTCCTCCCAGATCTTCACTCACTCACTCACTCACTCACTCCATCTTGTTTCCTCCCAGATCTTCACTCACTCACTCCATCTTGTTTCCTTCAGATCTTCACTCACTCACTCCATCTTGTTACCTTCCAGATCTTCACTCACTCTCTCCATCTTGTTTCCTCCCAGATCTTCACTCACTCACTCATCTTGTTTCCTTCAGATCTTCACTCACTCACTCACTCCATCTTGTTACCTCCCAGATCTTCACTCACTCACTCCATCTTGTTTCCTCCAGATCTTCACTCACTTACTCACTCCATGTTGTTTCCTCCATATCTTCACTCACTCACTCACTCCATCTTGTTTCCTCCCAGATCTTTACTCACTCACTCACTCCATCTTGTTTCCTCCCAGATCTTCACTCACTCACTCACTCCATCTTGTTTCCTCCCAGATCTTCACTCACTCACTCCATATTGTTTCCTTCAGATCTTCACTCACTCACTCACTCCATCTTGTTACCTGCCAGATCTTCACTCACTCACTCCATCTTGTTTCCTCCAGATCTTCACTCACTCACTCCATGTTGTTTCCTCCAGATCTTCACTCACTCACTCACTCACTCCATCTTGTTTCCTCCAGATCTTCACTCACTCACTCCATGTTGTTTCCTCCAGATCTTTACTCACTCACTCCATGGTGTTTCCTCCAGATCTTCACTCACTCACTCCATCTTGTTTCCTCCAGATCTTCACTCACTCACTCCATGTTGTTTCCTCCAGATTTTCACTCACTCACTCACTCCATGGTGTTTCCTCCAGATCTTCACTGACTCACTCCATGTTGTTTCCTCCAGATCTTCACTCACTCACTCCATGGTGTTTCCTCCAGATCTTCACTGACTCACTCCATCTTGTTTCCTCCAGATCTTCACTCACTCACTCCATCTTGTTTCCTCCCAGATCTTCACTCACTCACTCCATCTTGTTTCCTCCAGATCTTCACTCACTCACTCCATCTTGTTTCCTCCAGATCTTCACTCACTCACTCCATGTTGTTTCCTCCAGATCTTCACTCACTCACTCACTCCATCTTGTTTCCTCCCAGATCTTCACTGACTCACTCACTCCATCTTGTTTCCCTCTCAGATCTTCACTCACTCACTCACTCACTCACTCACTCACTCCATCTTGTTTCCTCCAGATCTTCACTCACTCACTCACTCACTCCATCCATCTTGTTTCCTCCAGATCTTCAATGCCCGCAAGGTGGACCAGAACCTGGGCCTGGCCTACATCATCAGCCAGCCTCACAAGGTGATCATGGAGAGCCTCAAGATGTTAGTGTCTGCCTCCGGTCACAACTACAAGAAACTCATGGTCAGTACTGCAGCGTCGACCTGCTTCTATAATGTCATAGAATAATTCTATAATTCTGATTTTAATATCAGTTCTATTCATGTTAACAAAGTCAAGATTTTAATTGAAGAGCTGTCTGTTGCTTAAACCTTGCCACCAAAGTTGCTGAGAGGTTTTTCTGAAAAAAAAGGCCTGGTGACTCTCATTTTGAAAATTGATGGGCCAGTCGCTGTCTATGAAATGGTACAAATTGATTAGTCAGTCGCTGTCTATGAAATGGTACAAATTGGGTGGTCATTCTGTATAGACATTTTGACATCTTAGTGTTTGAGTTATCCCCTTGAGTTCCCATCATACTGACAGGAGAGCGGAAGGTTGGGGGTTCGATCCCTGGCCGTGTCATACGAAAATATGTTAAAAGATGGTACTTGTTGTTGCCCTGCTCAGCATTAAGGGGCTAAAACAAGGACTGGTAAGTTTGTAGTCAGTCTACTGTCTGAGTGGAGTATTCATGTTAACACACGCACACACGCACGCACGCACACACACACAAACAAACAAACAAAAAAGCTAAGTCTCCAGGCAGGCACAAGAAAGATATTAATATCACACAAACATATGTCACTGAACACTAGCCTTTGTAACCGTTGGAATCGTATTGATAAATTTGTCAGCAGCTTGACTCATGGTCTCAGGGTGTACATGCTCAGCTCATAACATGCTGTGCTGGACATTGACACATGGAACTCTTGACACATTTAATGTATTTATATACTATTCAAAAGAAGTTAAAGAAAACCTGATTCTTTTGTCATATTACTATAGTTAATCAAGTGTTGTTCTTTAATTAAGAATTGACCTTCACTTTGTGTGAGTTCGTTGGAGTATGAACCTTCATAGAGTGAGGGCCAAACTGTATGAACGTTGGAGCTTGCGAAGGTATTGAGTAAATACTCAATGGCCCAAAATATTATCTGGAGTTGAGACATACAGTGTAGCAATGTTGTGACTACCTTCTGGACAGGCGCTGGCCTCTGTGGGACGAGCAATGGGTTGTCTGCTACAGGAGGTCAAGGTGACGTCCATGGCCGAAACCATGGACACCAGAGCCACATGGGGACATCGACTCAGTAAGATCAAGGTAAAGGTCATGTTGTCTGGCGCTGAAACAGAATGGAACTTTTTTTGTAAATGAAAGTGGGATGTTCAATTGTATCTGCTGTATATTGACAATTCTTTAACTTTTGCAAAAACAATGTTGAACTATTATCATCAAATGCTAAAATCAGATTGAGTTTGTTAGTTTGACAGACTACAAAACATTTCTTAAAAGGACAAGTTGTTAAAAAGGATGGTTTTCATCATGTTGACTGATAATATAAAAGAAATCTTGAATCTGATGTTATCATAAGTCCATGTATTGTGATTATTACTGTTTATTTCAGATTGATTTCAAAACGGCATTCCAAGGAACAACCAAAGAGAGATTAAAAATTCTGAAGGCAATAGCCCAGAATGATGCTGCTGAGGTCAACATCATCACAGATTACTGCAAGTGGGTGGCATAGGGAAAAGTCTTCTTACGTTTTGATTCTTAAACCCTACTGTGGGCTTTGATCCTCTGCTTATCCCAGTTTATCTGTTTTTGCCTTTTCAACATACATAAACAGCGCAAATTGTTGGGTTCAGAGGGGGCCATGGGGATCCCAGTCATCTAAGGCGTCTATTCACTGTGCAGAGTTGCGTCCCTTGGGCATACCAGAAACCTATCAACATGGGTTTGAATCCGGGTTCGCCCCAATTATGTTTCCAGGTTTGTCAGCACCAGCCTGTGCTGGTGGGTTTCACAAAAATTGTAAATGTCTGAGACCTGCATCACTTCAGACTTTCTTCCCACATTAAGTTGTCACGCTGTAACCAATCAGAGTCCAGGAAATTGTATTTTAAATTGTCTCCAAACAAGTCAAGAAGACAGACCTGACTTAATTGATAGGCTGGGGAAAACGCTTCTGGTTAACAAATTGAAATGTATGTTACCATGCTTACAGAGACTTTAATCTGGAGGTTAAAGAGGGTCTCATGATCTACATCCAGCATGTGTTGTCACTGGAGATGCCGATGTGGGAGGGGACTTGCAATTTAGCCCAGCGCCGATCTCGCACCCATAAAGCCAGGGCGGCCATCAGAGTGCTGCCAGAATCTGACATGTTGGAGATGGAACTTAATAGGTTACTGAAACAAGTGGGTACTTTTCTATATTGATGTAGACACAAGTTGACTGAGAGGTGACACGCTGCTGAGTTGTCTATGTGTTTTAGTTTGAACTCTAAAGAAGAGGGGGCACGGATGACCCAATTGGCTAAAGCACAGCAATTTGCTGTGTAGAGTTGCATCCCTTGGGCATGCCAGAAACCCTATCATTTTTGGTTTGAATCTCAGTTCGCCCCGATTATGTTTCTAGGTTTGTCAGCTCCATACCTATGCTTGTGGGTTCACCAAAGTGGTAAACGTCTGAGACATGCATCACTTCACGCTTTCCTCCAACATTAAGCTAACAAGCCATAATTTAACTGGAATACTGTACCCAACTCACGGCAAGGAGATTCCTGTTCTGGCAAGTAAGCAACATGCCTTTGTAATATCCACTGGCTTTGGCCAGTGTGGGGAAGATGGAATATTTCTGACTGCCACATTTACAACATTTATTCCTTCACTTAATCACTGTCACAGATCTGACAGGAAATATCATGTTCTCATATCATACAAGAGCGTCGGTGGCCCAGAAGTTGAAGCTGCCTCAATTCGTTGTATAGAATTGCATCCCTAAGGCTTCCAGGAAACATGGTCGTGGGTTATAATTCAGGATTTGCCGGAATCATGCTTCTAGGTTTTTCATCTCATACAATACCCATGTCCGTGGGTTTCACCAAAGTGGAAAACGTTTAAGGGGATGCATTGCTAGGTAAGTGGGTGCACGGGAAGAATAGAAGGAAAGAGAGGGCAGTTAGACCGCTAGGACTTATATAGTAATGACATGTGTTGATTGTAGCAGTGACTTGCTTGTGTCCTTTAGGAAAGTTTGATGACTACACTATTAGTCTCACCCCTACTTCATTGACGCTGTGGAGATTTGGGGTTAGAATAGGTCCCTAGCAACCCATGCTGTTCATAAGAGGCGACCAAATGGATCGGTGGTCAGACTCAGGGACATAGTTGATTGCGTGTCATCGTACCCCAATAGCATGGGTCATTGCTCACAGAATCAATCACTGATAGGTCATTGCTCAATCAATCACTGGATTGTCTAGTCCAGACTCAATTATTTACAGGCCACCGTCTTATAGTTTGGGTATTGGTAAGTGCAGCAATAAACAGCAAACAGCGAACGTTGCTTCATTGAGTCTGCTTTTAAAAGAAATATGAATTTGACTGTAAATATCATATCCTGTAATCATAATGTATGTTATTGTACTCATAAGAGGTATTATACATGTCCTGCAATCTTATCCATGTGTGTTGTCTTTTCAAGTGTAACCCATACGACTATGAGACCATCAGGTTCTTGCTGGAAGAAATACAGAGATACGACAGCCAACAGGCCATTAAGGTGAGATGGTTTCAAACTGCAGTCTTTCATTATGAAGATGTTGTTTTTAACATGAATAGTTTTCCCAGTTTGGAAATGGACTCGTATGACCTTACCCTGAAGACTTGTTTGTGTTCATTTGTACGTCATGTGTACTGTCTTTACATGATACCATAACTTATTATGACTGTTACCTTCAGGGTCTTGAACTGCTGGAATATATCAGTGTTTACAACAGAAGATATCCGCCATCAGAATATGAACAACAGTACCGTGGAGAAGGGGAGAGAGAGGAGGTAGGCAGGGGGAAGCCATTGTTTGACCCCAATCTCTATTCCACACTGCTGACTAGCCTAGCAACTTGTAAACCATTTTTGGACACCTTTTTGTACTGCCCACAAGACTAATAACTTGTAAAGTTACCCATCTATATTCCCCACTAGACTAGTAACTTGTAAACTAGTATTTCACCCCCATCTGTATTTCCCACTAGACCAGTAACGTGTAAACTAGTATTTCACCCTTATCTGTATTCCCTACTAGACCAGTAACTTGTAAACCAGTGTTTCACCCCATCTGTATTCCACACTAGACCAGTAACGTGTAAACTAGTATTTCACCCCATCTGTATTCCCCACAACAAAAGTAACTTGTAAACCAGTATTTCATCCCTATCTGTATTCCCTTCTAGACCAGTAACTTGTAAACCAGTATTTCACCCCTATCTGTATTCCACACTAGACAAGTAACATGTAAACTAGTATTTCACCCCTATCTGTATTTCTCACTAGACCAGTAACGTGTAAACCAGTATTTAACCCCCATCTGTATTCCCCACTAGACCAGTAACTTGTAAACCAGTGTTTCACCCCCATCTGTATTCCCCACTAGACCAGTAATGTGTAAACCAGTGTTTCACCCCTATCTGTATTCCCCACTAGACTAGTAACTTGTAAACCAGTATTTCACCCCTATCTGTATTCCCCACTAGACTAGTAACTTGTAAACCAGTATTTCACCCCTATCTGTATTCCCCACTAGACTAGTAACTTGTAAACCAGTATTTCACCCCTATCTGTATTCCCCACTAGACTAGTAACTTGTAAACCAGTATTTCTCCCCCACTTCGTTAACTCCCTGTTAAACTAGTAACTTGTAAACCAGTATTTCACCCCTATCTGTCTTCCCCACTAGACTAGTAACTTGTAAACCAGTATTTCTCTCCCACCTCGTTTACTCCCTGTTAAACTAGTAACTTGTAAACCAGTATTTCACCCCTATCTGTATTCCCCACTAGACTAGTAACTTGTAAACCATTATTTCTCCCCCACCTCGTTTACTCCCTGTTAAACTAGTAACTTGTAAACCAGTATTTCACCCCTATCTGTATTCCCCACTAGACTAGTAACTTGTAAACCATTATTTCTCCCCCACCTCGTTTACTCCCTGTTCAACTAGTAACTTGTAAACCAGTATTTCACCCCTATTTATATTCCCTCAGTTATCAGGTGTTCTGGACACACTCCCGGCAGCCAGCAAGAAGTTTGTCCCCTTCCATCCGCTAATGTTTGGTGACCCTTGGAAGATTATCAGTAAGTTTTGGATTCGGTCTTGAAAGAAAATCTGCAAGGCTGCTGTGTTGACTTAACTTGCCCGTTCACAAAACAAGCATCTTTCAATTGCAGGATCCTTTTACTGACTGCTACTAAATTAAACTAGTCTACTGTCATAACCATTTTTCTGCAAATATCTGCTAAATGCATAATCCTCGTGTGTCATATATATATATATATACCTCATTCATGCTTTTTTTTCAGCACCTGAGCTTGAAGATGATTCTGTTTCAATATGGCTTCCGATTGCAAAAGTGTTAAAGGTACAGTGTATGCTTGATTTAAATTTTTCAAATTATATATTGTTTTGAATAATAAATAGTCAATTCTAGATTGATTAAAATACCCTTTGATATCAAGTTGATATAATAGAATTTAAATTGCCTTATTGTTAGTGTCACCATAGTTAACTATGCTTGTCGTAAGAGGCCACTAACAGGATCAGGTAGTCAGGCTTCCTGACTTGGTTGATGCATATCATTGTATCCCAATTGCGTGGGTTGATGCTCATGATGTCAATCACAGGATTGTCTGGTCCAGACTGGATTATTTACAGACCACCGTCATATTGCTGAGTGCGGCATTAACAACAAATAAACAAACAAACCTTGTTATTACACCCAACCCAATCATTACACCTTCATTGTAATTAAGTGGCTTCTCTCCTGTTAATTTCTTCGGCTTCGTCAATATTTTGTTATCTTTGTAGATAAATCCTACCGTTAGTAAACATATCATCATGTATATTAACTGTATGCACTCACTCAGTATTCACCTGATGAAGGGGCAAGAAGTAGCTCTGAAACGTTAAAAAAATAAAAGACATTATTATCCATAAAAAAAGGGCATTCATGTTATACTGTGCCATGGTATCTCAGTGGTCCAGCACTATAAAACTTTCACTAGTCCTGACTAGAACAAGCAGCCTCATGCACACACACACACAAGCATGCACATAAACACACAGATGCATGCAGTTCACTATTAAGTTGCAATAATCTTGAACACAACGTTAAACCCCATTTCACCTCACCTCACCTCACCTCACCTCACCTCACCTCACCTCACCTCACCTCACCTCACCTTGTCTTCTCTGCCTCAGCTACAAGAGGATCAGATACCACTCATGGCAATACAGAACATGGTCCGACGTCACGTCAAGTCTCTCCGACAGCAGGCTACCGGAAACTTGGACAAAAACAGCTGTGACTGGAGCTTTGACCAAAACAGCGTGGCTTTCCTCGATAGAGTGAGGGATCTGCTCATGAGTGTGTCTAACTGTGAGATGGGGCTAGCCTGTGCTACTTGGCTCTTCAAGGAGCTGCCCATGGGTGAGTCTGATCTATAAATGCAACTGGCCTGTGCTACTTGGCTCTTCAAGGAGCTGCCCATGGGTGAGTCTGATCTATTAATGCAACTGGCCTGTGCTACTTGGCTCTTCAAGGAGCTGCCCATGGGTGAGTCAGATCTATAAATGCAGCTGGCTTGTGCTACTTGGCTCTTCAAGGAGCTGCCCATGGGTGAGTCAGATCTATATATGCAGCTGGCCTGTGCTACTTGGCTCTTCAAGGAGCTGCCCATGGGTGAGTCTGATCTATAAATGCAACTGGCCTGTGCTACTTGGCTCTTCAAGGAGCTGCCCATGGGTGAGTCTGATCTATTAATGCAACTGGCCTGTGCTACTTGGCTCTTCAAGGAGCTGCCCATGGGTGAGTCAGATCTATAAATGCAGCTGGCTTGTGCTACTTGGCTCTTCAAGGAGCTGCCCATGGGTGAGTCAGATCTATATATGCAGCTGGCTTGTGCTACTTGGCTTTTCCAGGAGCTACCCATTGGTGAGTCAGATCTATATATGCAGCTGGCCTGTGCTACTTGGCTCTTCAAGGAGCTGCCCATGGGTGAGTCTGATCTATAAATGCAACTGGCCTGTGCTACTTGGCTCTTCAAGGAGCTGCCCATGGGTGAGTCTGATCTATTAATGCAACTGGCCTGTGCTACTTGGCTCTTCAAGGAGCTGCCCATGGGTGAGTCAGATCTATAAATGCAGCTGGCTTGTGCTACTTGGCTCTTCAAGGAGCTGCCCATGGGTGAGTCAGATCTATATATGCAGCTGGCTTGTGCTACTTGGCTTTTCCAGGAGCTACCCATTGGTGAGTCAGATCTATATATGCAGCTGGCCTGTGCTACTTGGCTCTTCAAGGAGCTGCCCATGGGTGAGTCAGATCTATATATGCAGCCTGGCTTGTGCTACTTGGCTTTTCCAGGAGCTACCCATGGGTGAGTCAGATCTATATATGCAGCTGGCCTGTGCTACTTGGCTTTTCCAGGAGCTGCCCATGGGTGAGTCAGATCTCTATATGCAGCTGGCCTGTGCTACTTGGCTCTTCAAGGAGCTACCCATTGGTGAGTCAGATCTATATATGCAGCTGGCCTGTGCTACTTGGCTCTTCAAGGAGCTACCCATTGGTGAGTCAGATCTATATATGCAGCTGGCCTGTGCTACCTGGCTCTTCAAGGAGCTGCCCATGGGTGAGTCAGATCTATATATGCAGCTGGCCTGTGCTACTTGGCTTTTCCAGGAGCTGCCCATGGGTGAGTCAGATCTCTATATGCAGCTGGCCTGTGCTACTTGGCTCTTCAAGGAGCTACCCATTGGTGAGTCAGATCTATATATGCAGCTGGCCTGTGCTACTTGGCTCTTCAAGGAGCTACCCATTGGTGAGTCAGATCTATATATGCAGCTGGCCTGTGCTACCTGGCTCTTCAAGGAGCTGCACATGGGTGAGTCAGATCTATATATGCAGCTGGCCTGTGCTACTTGGCTCTTCAAGGAGCTACCCATTGGTGAGTCAGATCTATATATGCAGCTGGCTTGTGCTACCTGGCTCTTCAAGGAGCTGCCCATGGGTGAGTCAGATCTATATATGCAGCTGGCCTGTGCTACTTGGCTCTTCAAGGAGCTACCCATTGGTGAGTCAGATCTATATATGCAGCTGGCCTGTGCTACTTGGCTCTTCAAGGAGCTACACATGGGTGAGTCAGATCTATATATGCAGCTGGCCTGTGCTACTTGGCTCTTCAAGGAGCTACCCATTGGTGAGTCAGATCTATATATGCAGCTGGCCTGTGCTACCTGGCTCTTCAAGGAGCTGCCCATGGGTGAGTCAGATCTATATATGCAGCTGGCTTGTGCTTCTTGGCTCTTTCAGGAGCTACCTATGGGTGAGTCAGATCTATATATGCAGCTGGCTTGAGCTACTTGGCTCTTCAAGGAGCTACCCATGACTGAGTCAGATCTATATATGCAGCTGGCCTGTGCTACTTGGCTCTTCAAGGAGCTAACTATGGATTAGTGAAATGTATCAGTGGGGCTTGACGGTTTTGTAATATATAACCAAAACAAGAGTTTTTTCAGTTAATTCTACCATTATATTACCTGAATTGTGTCCACAGGTGGGGAGAAAGTGATTGCTCTCAAAGGCTGTGTGATGTTTGCCGAGAAATGGTACCAGGCCTGTGATGAAAAAACCCAGGTAAGTTAAATATGCCAAATGCTTAGGTTTTTACTGTTGGATTCCGAACCTGCTGTGTGCTGATTAGCAAGGATTACGACAAGTCCAGATTAGAGTTACTTCCCTTTGGCTTGAGTAGTGACAGTTAGGAAAATGTCCGACTTTGACATTGTCAGCAATACTTTATTCATTTCTGTCTAAGTTGGTTGAATAATATTGCAGTACTATTGCAATAGCCCCAATAGACCCCTACTGTCAACCACCCGTTGCTAACTACTTTCTTTGTGTAATGCTGACGTAAGCTGGAGCTCTTTTTCTACCAAGGCAATTTTTTCAAATAAGCACCTCTTCAGCGTGTACTATGTGTACAGCCTTGCTATGCATGATTGCCTCCTTGGTCTAGTAGTAGAGCGTCAGCCTGGAGAGAGGAAGGTCGGGGATTCAATCCCAGGCCGCGTCATACCAAAACACGTGACAAGATGGTACTTGTTACCCTGCCTGGCGCACGGCATTAAGGGGCTAAAACAAGGACTGGTCGGCTCGGAGACAGTATACTGTGTCTGAGTGGGGTATTCATGTTAAATTGCAGCATGGTATCTCAGTGGGCTAGCACTATAAAATCAGCATTAGTCCGGACTAGTACAAGCAGCCACACACACACATCCATGCACGTCTCTATATAAGTTTTTTTCCATCATTGAGACCAAGAGACCACACTTTGAGAAAGTACATTCAAACCTAAATATAAACAAATGAGTATACACATTTTCTAGGACTGCACAATTATATCGGTATAGTGCAATACACTTTTCAAACAATGCATATTGCAATATTTTTTTCAGTGTTCCGGTATATTTGGTAAAATATATACTGGGGTATAACAATTTGCATTATTATTTGTATCATTTAACCTAAAATCTACACAGAAATTAATTTACAAATGACATTTCCCTTTAAGATTGATTGACACAACAGCGGAAATGATTTTTCTGTCACGTTGTTATCTCACCATATGCATGACTTATAAATGGCAGTGAGTAATATTAAATTGATTGTTAAATCAGTTTCTGATCAATAGTATCGGTTTCAGTTAGGAATATAAAACAAATCTGTCATATATCAAACTTTTTATTTATTTTGATTTGTTGTTATGGTTATCACATTCAAAGGAAACTTCAGTTCCAAGGTTTAATTCTACTCTAAAATCCATCTAAAATGATACACTGAAAACTATCGATATTTATCGCAGTAGTTGCTTGCAATATTAATAGTTATCGCAATAGTTTCTTTCATTATCAATAGTTATCGCAATAGTGATTTCCGGACCAATAGTCGCCCCTATTAACTTTAGTGTGTAGAAAATAGGATCTGCATGTACCATCAGTGTCAATCACTGTCAAACAATTTAGCTCCCAATAGATTCCATACGTATCACAATACAGATTATTTTGTACAATTATTTTGCCAATACACAGCCCTATTGATTTCATACATCACATCTAAATTTTCCTGACTTAATTTTCAATCTTGCTCCTGTAGAAAGGACAAAGAGATAAGGCCCAGGCTGCCTATTTGAAGTTTGTGGCAGTGTTCAAGCGTCTGTCCACGGAGCGTGTTCTGTTCATGAATGACCTGGCAGAGCCTGACATACTACAGCTCTGTAGCAAGCCGGCCGACCTGATTGTCAAGCTGTATGAACATCCCAGCATCACGGCGTCCTGGGACTGCCAGGTCAAAAAGCCAGGTGAGCTACAGGGCAGAAGTTCCTCCCTTTCTGGTGCCATGTGTGGGGTTCTGGGGCAGAAAGTAACCCATGTTGGTTGTGGGTTTGTTTGTTTGTTGTTTAATGCCACACTCGGCAGTATTCCAGCTGTGTACAGCAGTCTATAAATAATTAAGTCTGGATCAGACAAATCCAGTGATTGACATCATTAGCATAGATCTACGCAATTGGTATACAATGACATGCATCAACCAAGTCAGCGAGCCTGACCACCCAATCCCATTAGTGGCTTCTTATGACAGGAATGGGTTGCTGAAGACCTATTCTCTACTTGGATTTTGTTTTTTGAGTCCACTATTGAGGATCAGATGGCTGCAATGGGTGACCTGAGACTGTCTGCCATCATACTGCGATACCTTGCATGATTTGACTTTCATTTTCAAAGTTTTAATAATTGTATAGTGATAATTTGTTCCTAATGCGTGGGTCAGCCTACTTTCTGATATTTTATAGTAATTGTGTACATGATGCATTAATTGACCTAATTTCAGATATTTTATAGTAACCATATAAATATGCATGGCTTGACCTACTTTCAGATATCAATGCTGTTGTGAAGGAGATCAGTGAAGTGAATGACCTTGAACTAGAAAGTATCTGTTTTGGTCTAATCAAGAAATGGCTGCCGTCTGTGGAGGCTAAACAAGAAGCTGATGATGTAAGACATTAACAGTGTCCTGGGTCTTTCTTCTATAGTACCGGTTATTTTAATTGAGAGAAATGAGTGACAAAACCAGATGGAAACCATTGAAGGCTGTGTGCAAATCGAATTAGCTGATACTTGTGGTTCAATCACTACACTGACTATTGAAACACATTCTAGATTTTTGTAGTTATAATCATGTTAAATATGCCTGGATGTATCAATTGGGCATAAACTGACAAATACGTTATAATGGGGAGACATTTGGCAGTCCCTCCCTTTAGCAACTAAAGTACCCTTTGTATCCAACATTATAATGAGAAGGTGGTACCCTCTTGACCCACTGTTATACACTGTACATCCCACCCCATGGGGATCCCAATAAGAATAGGCCCAAGGGAAGCTATGTTTATTGTACAAGGCGACTAATTGGATGGGGTGGATATTAATTTTAATTAAACAACAAGCACTGTGATATGTTATTAAATACATAAGAGATATTACCTTTCCATGACTGATTCCCTACTTTTAGAACCCTATTCTATTCCCACAAGATGTATTTAGCTTCAGTTGATAATGCTGCTCTGTTTCAGACAATGACCTTCAACTTTGACAATCTGAAACTTGCAGGAGATGAACCCAGACAAGATGATGATGAGAGTCTCAGGCGGTAGGCACACATTCTTCATTGCGTACTACCAATGTATGTACTGCATCAAATCAGGATTACCTCCTTTTCTGTTACACAGGGTTGTGTGGATCGATGCTCATGATATTGATCACTGGATTGTCTGGTCCAGACTTGATTATTTACAGACCGCCGTCATATAGCTGGAATATTGCTGAGTGGGGCATTAAAAAACAAACCAACCATCAGGCTGGTCCAGATTTTATTATGTGCATTAAACAACAAACACACATGCACACACGCACATGCACACACATGCACACACACACATGCACTGTGAGATTACTCCTGTGGACATTCTGGGTCAGAATTGCTCATGTCTCTGGGGTGTGTTCCATAGTGATGTGTGACGGTGTAGCTGTGATATTTGATGTGTGACGGTGTAACTGTGATGTGTGATGTGTGACGGTGTAATTGTGATGTGTGATGTGTGACGTGTGACGGTGTAACTGTGATATGTGATGTGTGACGGTGTAGCTGTGATATGTGATGTGTGACGGTGTAGCTGTGATATGTGATGTGTGACGGTGTAGCTGTAATATGTGATGTGTGACAATGGATTTGTGATGTGTGACGGTGTGATGTATGATGGATTATCTGTGATGTTTGAGAATGCATATGTGATGTGTGATGGATTATCTGTGATGTTTGAGAATGCATATGTGATGTGTGATGTTTTATCTGTGATGTTTGAGAATGTATATGTGATGTGAGATGGAATATCTGTGATGTTTGAGAGTATATATCTGATGTGTTCTCAGAGTGATGTGTGACATATTTCTGTGATGTGTTCTCAGAGTGATGTGTGACATATTTCTGTGATGTGTTCTCAGAGTGATGTGTGACATACTCTGATGTGTTCTCAGATTGATGTGTGACATATTTCTGTGATGTGTTCTCAGAGTGATGTGGGACATACTCTGATGTGTTCTCAGATTGATGTGTGACATATTTCTGTGAGGTGTTCTCAGAGTGATGTGTGACATATTTCTGTGATGTTTTCTCAGAGTGATGTGTGACATATTTCTGTGATATGTTCTCAGAGTGGTGTGTGACATATTTCTGTGATGTGTTCTCAGAGTGATGTACATCATGAAAGGCATCAACAAGGAGGACTGCGCCGTCACAGTCTTCAACTTCATCAACCAGGTGAGAAGCTCACTTCAACGACCTCACAAACTTGTCTCACGACACCAAATGATGAGCTAGCTAGTACAGACTCTTTTCCATCATGGTTACAAGATGTGGAAAGTTACTAGTCTGTTATAATCTTTACAGCACCAAAACTGATATAAAGAAACTATGAATTGATTGTGCAGGAAACTGACAGTGAGACCACCAACCAGTGTCGAGTGAGAGGACTCCAGTGTCTTCTACAGGTGTTCAGCAGGGAGGATGTATTTCGGATATGTGACAAGTCAGCTCAGGAGCTCAGGTCAGGGTCACTTCAGTACACTGTTTTATGTATTCTATTCAGTTTAGTATTCGTACTACTGCCTGGAATGGAATTTGTACTAACATTTTTAGACAGACATTTGGACTGACCATTTGATATTCTAGGAGGTGGGGTGGAGTCAGGTGGGTTGGGGCTGGGATTTTGATAGCGAGATTAGATATTTTTTCAGCTACACCTACAAAACCAGATATTCTTTATAAAGAAATACACCTTGCAACATTTTTTGGGGAAGTCAATTTCCATTTTTTGTCAACAGTCTGTAGCATAATTGTTTTCTTCAATAAAATCCCGGTCCTCAAACTTTTAATTTTATTCCACATCTTTTTAAATCAAGTAATGAGTAAGGAGGTCGATATTGTTACCACATTGAATAATGATTTTATAACTGGCACCTGTGATAGTTCTCAATAGTCATACAAATTATTTTGATATTGTTAATAGATAGTCTGTGTCTGTATCCAATCTGATATTTTATGGTTGTTAATGATTGGTGGATATTGATCACATGATTATGATCCTGCACTGTAATTGGTTGTTTCAGTGAGCTGATGCATGTGCTGCTGTACCTGGTTGAGCTTGAGAAGCTGCACATCCAGCACTCAGTGCAGACGTTCCGGGAGTGCAACAAGGAGGGTCTCATCATGGGGGTATGGAGGAACCACAACCACCAGAAGACGGTACGCAATAGCGGCAGTACGCAGTGGGCGCACACCTAACACTGGAGCTTCCACTCCATTCTTTGATCACATGACAAAGGCCATGCTAAAGGACAAATGGCTACTGTCAAATTCATCACTGAGTATATCATAGTGACATTTCGATATACCAAGTCTACTTTCACTGATTACCATGGTTACTGATAGGGAATGGGAGTCAAGCGGTGGTCTGTCTCTAGCAGGGTCTTCCATGTCTGCTTCATAATGGAGGACAAGTTGTATGGCACACATCTGTGTTGGCCTTAGACTGTATATTGTGTCTCTGTGCTGTTGGCCTTAGACTGTATATTGTGTCTCTGTGCTGTTGGCCTTAGAGTGTATATTGTGTCTCTGTGCTGTTGGCCTTAGAGTGTATATTGTGTCTCTGTGCAGGGTGTACTGTCGGTGGCGGCAATGTGTCAGGACAAGTTGTATGACACACATCTATCTTGGCCTTAGACTGTATATTGTGTCGCTATGCTGTTGGCCTTAGAGTGTATATTGTGTCTCTGTGCAGGGTGTACTGTAGGTGGCGGCAATGTGTCAGGACAAGTTGTATGACACACATCTATCTTGGCCTTAGACTGTATATTGTGTCGCTGTGCTGTTGGCCTTAGAGTGTATATTGTGTCTCTGTGCAGGGTGTACTGTCGGTGGCGGCAATGTGTCAGGACAAGTTGTATGACACACATCTATCTTGGCCTTAGACTGTATATTGTGTCGCTATGCTGTTGGCCTTAGAGTGTATATTGTGTCTCTGTGCAGGGTGTACTGTAGGTGGCGGCACTGTCAGGACAAGTTGTATGACACACATCTGTTTTGGCCTTAGACTGTATATTGTGTCGCTGTGCTGTTGGCCTTAGAGTGTAAATTGTGTCTCTGTGCAGGGTGTACTGTCGGTGGCGGCAATGTTTCAGGACAAGTTGTATGACACACATCTGTCTTGGCCTTAGAGTGTATATTGTGTCTCTGTGCTGTTGGCCTTAGAGTGTATATTGTGTCTCTGTGCTGTTGGCCTTAGACTGTATATTGTGTCTCTGTGCTGTTGGCCTTAGACTGTATATTGTGTCTCTGTGCTGTTGGCCTTAGACTGTATATTGTGTCTCTGTGCTGTTGGCCTTAGACTGTATATTGTGTCCTCTGTGCTGTTGGCCTTAGACTATATTGTGTCTCTGTGCTGTTGGCCTTAGAGTGTATATTGTGTCTCTGTGCTGTTGGCCTTAGAGTGTATATTGTGTCTCTGTGCTGTTGGCCTTAGACTGTATATTGTGTCCTCTGTGCTGTTGGCCTTAGAGTGTATATTGTGTCTCTGTGCTGTTGGCCTTAGACAGTATATTGTGTCCTCTGTGCTGTTGGCCTTAGACTGTATATTGTGTCTCTGTGCTGTTTGCCTTAGAGTGTATATTGTGTCTCTGTGCTGTTGGCCTTAGAGTGTATATTGTGTCCTCTGCGCAGGGTGTACGGCTGGTGGCGGCACTGTGTCAAGACTACAAGGTGTACGACACACAGCTTTGGAACAACATCCTAACACAGATGCTGGGGCAGAGCATGGTGAGCAGATAGATCTCATAGAGCCTGTAGATTAAATAAAATGTCTTGAAAAGGTTTAGCTATACTGTTAAGTAATATACCGTATTTGACGTAATAAGTGCCTTGCTCATATAAGCGCCTTGCTCATATAAGCGCCCACAGCGATATTAGCTAATATCCCAATTAGCACCCTGTCCAATTGATCAATGTACACAAGACTTATTTATTTGTGTATAATACGCACTCGTGTGTTATATGCACCCTTAATTATTGGCAATTAAATTCTGGAAAATTATATCTGTCGTATATTAACATTTTAGGCTGTCAGCATAAACCACGAAATTTATGATCTTTCAACTCTGTTTTTTTTCCCACCAAAATAATATTCTAATAAGCGCCCCCTATTTCTAATTTTGAGAGTGCTCTGGGCGCTTATTACGTCAAGTACGGTATTACAATTACCTCTTACAATTTGCTGTTAAAATGTGAGATGACATCATACAGCAAAACATAGTCTGTACATTTTCAGTAAGTAATATTGAAACAATGCTGTGTTGATTTGAATATTGAAACACTGGTATGTATATTTGAATATTTAGTGGTGTAATTAAATGAACAAATTGTGCCAAAATACTTGATGGTGTATTTGTGTGTACAAATGGAGCCATGATCACAATGGAAGTGTGAATGTGTTGATACAGAATGGAGGGTATTGTGTATTGTTGTAACAAAGACTGATATGTCAGTGTGTCTGTATGTTGTAGAAGTGTGAGCTGGAACAGGTGCTCCTTCATCTGTGTGTAACTACGATTGATGTGTGTTTGTATGTTGTAGAGATGTGAGCTGGAGCAGGTGCTCCTTCATCTGTGTGTAACTACGATTGATGTGTGTTTGTATGTTGTAGAGATGTGAGCTGGAGCAGGTGCTCCTTCATCTGTGTGTAACTACGATTGATGTGTGTTTGTATGTTGTAGAGATGTGAGCTGGAGCAGGTGCTCCTTCATCTGTGTGGTGTAGCAGAGGTCTGGTGTGTGCCCATCTTTGTCAAAGTGTGGCAGTCTGTGCTCTCCATGCCACTCAATAACAGTAAGTGTCACAACCATGGTGCCCTACACTAAAATATCACCAATTGTTTAAATGATCTGCATTTTGTTGGTCTCATCTCAAGCTATGCTACTTATTTTCTTTTATCAATGAGGATCTTAGAACTTTTACAACTGCCAAAGAAGTCTTATGAAGCTTGAACTTTACATGATGATCTAAGTCTCTGTGATTTGCTCGCAGATTCTGGCCTGTTCTCAACATGTGGTATCAGGGTGGTGTATGGTTTGGTTGTAATGTGTTACCAGGAAGTGTGTATTTAGGCTCTCAGATGATGATGTTGTTGGATGTTCCAGTGTGTTCTCCCCTCAGTGATGACCAGACCAAGGACGTCCTCTACTACTTCAACCTTCTGTCCAGGTATCCGCCACTTTTCAAACCTTAAACAAAATTTACAAGATGACTTGTTCAGATTCATCAAGGCATGTTAATATGACTACCCAACGTGGCTTATGCAGCTTTTATATGATATATGTATATTGTATTTGTAATGCTGGCTTCCCTACATCAGTTCAATAACCTCATTTTTGGTTTCCGACTGATTCAGTGAAAATAATTTTTGCTCTTTCCCTGGTCATGGAGACAGTCTGTAAACTCTACAATGAAAGGTAAACTTGTAGTCTATCTGACTGCATAAGATCAGTAGAAACTGGACGACTGGGATGTATTGATGCAACTGTGTACCCTGTCATTGTGTGAAAGACTGTTCCCCCCTTCAGGCTGACCCGTGAAGATTCCGGGGTAGAATAGGTCTTCAGCAACCAATACTTGCCATAAAAGGCGACTATGCTTATCGTAAAAGGCGACTAACGAGATCGGGTGGTCAGGCTCGCTGACTTGGTTGATACATGTAATTGATCCCAATTGCGTGGATCCAAGTTCATAATATTTATCACTGGATTGTCTGGTCCAGACTCGATTATTTACAGACCGCCGTCATATAGCTGGAATAGTGCTAAGTGCGGCGTTAAACAACAAACCAACCAACCAACCCCTCCAGGCTATCATGATATGTTAATAGCCCAGCTTCACCGAACCAGTATTGAGAATGTTCCCCTGACCAAAGACTACCATCAGGTAACAGATTAACCCCAGGGTGATGGGGTAGTTAAGTGGTTAAAGCATTGCCTTGCAACACCAAAATCTTGGGTTCGATTCCCCACAAGGGGTACCATTCATGAAGCCCCTTCTGGTGTTCCCAGTCACAATATTACTGGAATTTTGCTAATAGTTGCGTGAAACCTCACTCCAAGTAACTGATGTTTGTTCTGACCATCCAGATGTCCAGTTGTGACCAGCCTTGACCTTGTGTCGTTGAGTAACCAGTTCCAGAACCTTGAGCTGCCAGTGTGTGCAGCCGGCTGTCTGCTGATGTCACCCACCTCGCCCCGACAGAAGGTCAAGGACATCCTGGATGGACCTCACCATCTGGAGGACATTGCACATCTGGGACGACTCGGACTCAACAGCTTCTCAGTGAAGCAGGTAGGTTTTACGTAGAAACTATGTAATGGAGCACCTAATGCTTGTTGTATGAGCTGACTAGTGAGCCATGGGGATCTCCAACTCCCCATGCTTGCTGTCTGTGCTGACTATTAAGGCCAAGTGATCTCCAGCTCTCCATGCTTGTTGTATGAGCTGACTAATGAGGCCCGGGGATCTCCATCACTCCATGCTTGCTGAATGAGCTGACTAATGAGGCCCTGGGATCTCCAGCTCCCCATGTTTGTTGTATGAGCTGATTAATGAGGCCTGGAGACCTCCATCACCCCATGCTTGTTGTATGAGCTGACGATTGAAGCCTGGGGATCTCCAGCTCCCCATGCTTGTTGTATGAGCTGATCAATGAGGCCCAGTGACCTCCATCACTCCATGCTTGTTGTATGATCTGACTAATGAGGCCTGGTGATCTCCAGCACCCCATGCTTGTTGTATGAGCTGACGATTGAAGCCTGGGGATCTCCATAACTCCATGCTTGTTGTATGAGCTGACTAGTGAGGCCTGGGGATCTCCAGCACCCAATGCTTGTTGTATGAGCTGACTAATGAGGCCCAGGGATCTCCAGCACCCCATGCTTGTTGTATGAGCTGACTAATGAGGCCCGGGGATCTCCAGCACCCCATGCTTGTTGTATGAGCTGACAAGTGAGGCTCGGGGATCTCCATCACTCCATGCTTGTTGTATGAGCTGACCAATGAGGCCCAGGGATCTCCAGCTCCCCATGCTTGTTGTATGAGCTGACAAGTGAGGCTCGGGGATCTCCATCACTCCATGCTTGTTGTATGAGCTGACTAATGAGGCCCGGGGATCTCCAGCACTCCATGCTTGTTGTATGAGCTGACTTGTGAGGCCCGGGGATCTCCAGAACTCCATGCTTGTTGTATGAGCTGACTAATGAGGCCTGGGGATCTCCAGCACCCCATGCTTGTTGTGTGAGCTGACTAGTGAGGCCCAGTGACCTCCATCACGCCATGCTTGTTGTATGAGCTGACTAGTGAGGCCTGGGGATCTCCATCACTCCATGCTTGTTGTATGAGCTGACTAGTGAGGCCTGGTGATCTCCATCACTCCATGCTTGTTGTATGAGCTGACTAGTGAGGCCCGGGGATCTCAATTGTAGTCAGTACACCTGGAGACAGAAGTGGCTAACTCTTTTGATTTATAATGAGATGTTGATTTATGGTGTTGAAGTTGCAAGCAAAACATGTATAATAACTTAAAGATAGTGTGTAAGGTATCAATGTCTGTTAAGGAGTATTGTTTTCCAGATGGAGGAGTTTGTGTATGAGGAGATTGAGCTTGACAAAGAGTATGCCAGTGTCAGTAAGCACCAGCTGCCTGGCTTCATACAATACATCATAGCACAGGGGAATATAGACGGCATGCTGGTCTTTGCCCTGGAGAACAGCAGGTAAGGCTGGCTTCAATCATTACATTTTCACATAGGGGAATATATTCATACATTACATCATCACACAGGAATATATTCATATTTTACATCATCACACAAGAATATGCTCATATATTTCATCATCACACAAGAATATATTCATATATTACATTATCACACAGGAATATATTCACACATTACATCATCACACAGGAATATATTCATATATTACATCATCACACAGGAATATATTTATATATTACATCATCACACAAGAATATGTTCATATATTACATCATCACACAAGAATATATTCATATATTACATTATCACACAGGAATAAAATCACACATTACATCATCACACAAGAATATATTCATATATTACATCATCACACAGGAATATATTCACACATTACATCATCACACAGGAATATATTCATACATTTTATCATCACACAGGAATATATTTATACATTCCATCATCACACAGGAATATATTCATACATCACATCATCACACAGGAATGTATTCACACATCACATCATCACGCAGGGGAATATATTCACACGCATGCTGATCTTTGCTCTGGGGAACAGCAGGTAGTACTGGCTTCTAACATTCATTCACCAGTAAGCTTATGCAGATATATTATTTATGAACTGCTGTCATATAGTATAACAATTGCTGACTGCAACATAAACCCTTCACACTCAACCCATGTTTCTATACAGAAATGCCTAGACTACAAGCAGGTGTTCTATAGCCCGTGTCCTGCCGACATGCAGCATGTATTATGGTATATAAATACTCCTGATCACATTATGCAACCTGTCAACTGAAATGAGATTCCAGAGGTAGCACAGCGGACCTGACGCCGACTTACTGCAGCAACATCACCCTTCATACATCAGCATTTCGACACATCTATCCCACAGCATGGGAGATATGGAAATTGTCGCAACTCCCAAACCTTGCGTGTTGAATAGAAATGAAATGCATTACGTTTATAGCGTTGTGGTGTCAGCCTCAAATAAATACTGGCCAAAACATGCCAGTTACATCTGAGAGAACTATTGATTTTTGTTTGGAACCTCTTGAAGTTTTCCAGGCTTGTAGACTTATCAGCTTTATTCTGCTAATCAATCACTGATTGATGGAAAGATTATTGATTTCTCAACAGTCAGCAGCTTGTCGAATAAATATACCCCGCGAAAAAGTTCCAAGGTTAAGAGATGTATAATACAATGATGAGGAAGATGAAAGATGTCTTTGACAATTATATATCATAGCCTCTAGCTTCTTAACACTGAGCAGTTTGTAAATTGGGCAACTTGATCTTCCCTCAGTGATTCAAGATAGTGTCAAAAAGTGGATATGGAATTATGGAGTGTTTTAGATGTGCTACAAGTCTTTAACACACAATGCCATTTAGAAAGTGGTCAAATGTAACGAATATTATATTTGGGATAACACTTTCTAAGTAAAACTTAGTATAGCTTTTGGCCAAGGGAGCTGTACCAAGTTACACTTGTCAGAGGGGTACACAAAGTATGTGATCTAGACCAGTTGGAGGACTTTCATTTTGTGGAGGCCTCGGTGGCTGAGTGGGTTAGATCGCTAGTAGTGGGTTACTTGAATCTGTACTTTACAAAGAAAGTGTTATCCCAAATATAACATTTGTTATACAAGTCTTGACTTAATAAATCCAGAGTACTTTTACACTTGGTTGTGTTGGCTTATGTGGTCATTGTTGATTGATTGGCAGCTTTTGATGATGTGGTGAAAGTTATCCCATTGTAATCAGTCTGTGATACTGTGAGACATTGTAGGTCTAGGTGGTTTTATCAGATACCTTACCAAGAGACATTTTCACATGCAATGAAAAACCCAAAGGATCTCCCGGTTTTAAAAACCGTTTCACAATGGTGCACATTATATTCATGTTCTCTTCAGGCTGAAAGAGGCAGGTCAGTTGGTGCAGATGTACCTGGCAGAGGACAGTGAGATGGAGGACCAAGTTGAGGACTACATGAGGACATACAGAGAGGATGACCTTCTGCAGGTAGTTGCTTCACCAGTTAGTATCGTGAATTGGTAGACATAAACATCAGCAGTTGATCAGTGTTGTCACTGTCCTTGTGGGGATTCCCAGGCAGGTCCCACTATCCCATGCTTGTCAATAGAGCCGGGGACGGTCGGGTAGCCTTGTGGTTAAAGCATTTCCCATCATGCCAAAGACCTGAGTTCGATTCCCGACATTGATACAATGTGTGAAGCCCATTTCTGGTGTACCCCGCTATGATATTGTTGGAATATTGATAAAACGGCGTAAAACCAAACTCACTCACTCACTTATAAGAGCCGACTATTCAGGATCAAGGGATACGATGTGTGACTTGATTGTGTGTGTTTCATCGTACCCAGACAGTCTGGATTGTTGATCCTTGCAGTCAGTGTTCTTGGTCCAGACTTTATATTTCAGACTTCCAGGACATAGCTGTAATATTGCTGACTGCACCATTTGTCACTCACTCTACCCTCATTAGGGGGCACGGGTGGCCCAGTCGTCTAAGGCTGTGCAGAATTGCGTCCCTTGGGCACGCCAGAAACCTATGATTGTGGGTTCGAATCCCGGTTCGCCCCGATTATGTTTCTAGGTTTGTCAGCACCATACCCTTGCTCGTGGGTTTCACCAAAGTGGTAAACGTCTGAGACCAGTCCTCCCCCATAGGCTGAAACGCCACGATATAACTGGAATACTGTTAAAAGCGGCATTAAACCCAACTCACTCACTCACTCACCACCCTCATTAACATCAGATCTTAGTTCTCGCTAACCCTTAAAAAATTTCTGAGCACATCCCATTATGGGAACGTCAGAATGACCTTTCATCCAATTAATCAAGAGTGTCGCTTACCACATCGAGAAAGTGACAGCCTGAAGGTGTTTTCTGATCATGCACCCTCGACAAGGTTAACATAGGGTATTCTAAATGACAGTTGCGGGCTGTACCACTAATTCTGAGAAATTATATCTATCTCACACTTCAATGGGATAAGCATTTGAACGGACATTGCATAGCCCATGGGAAGTACTTTTATGCAATCTCAGCCATCTATTACACATTCCAGAATGTTTTTTGTTCTGTTTTTAAATTATGAATTGAGAACTTTGTCAAAATATTTCTAAAGTGTAGAGTGGAATGGAAATCGCCAGTTTGAATCTAGTGCCATTTAGCTTGAGAAAGCTGCTTTCTGATTAGCTAATGTTGACTTAATGGTAATTGGATATTTTAGTTTGTGCAACAACAACAGTACTTACGCGTTCATATTTAATATACCAATTACAGGTCAATCACCTCATTTCGTTTATATTCAACACGATTTCTTAACTCTGTCACCCGAATGTGCTTTTTATGTCATCTTACCCGGATCTCCATGACCCCAGGGTGTCAACCCGGGTCACTTCGACCCCAGGGTCTCTTAGGCAACTGAGGCAGCCCCCATGTTGTGCCAAATGTTTATGTAAATATCTGTATGTAATAAAACTTCCTGTAATGTAATACATTTCATGTTGTTTGTGGCACAAAATGGTAATTGGATATTTTAGTTTGTGCAACGACAACAGTACTTACGCGTTCATATTTAATATACCAATTACAGGTCAATCACCTCATTACGTTTATATTCAACACGATTTCTTAACTCTGTCACCCGAATGTGCTTTTTATGCCGTCTGGATCATGTTACAGTAATTACATCCAACAATGCACCTCTAAACAGTCTGCGCATGCCCAGTAAGACGGACATGAGTCACAGTGTTTACCTTTATTAACCCTTCAGCCCCGCACGAGGCTACTTTCTACATTGTCGCAAGCCACTCAACTGCGTTACCCTCCAGCCACCCCTTAGCTCCTCCTGTCTTTCATGGCCTAATGTATTCATGAGCATCATGAACGTGGTTCCTTGTGCATTCGCTAGTACTCATGTATTGGCATCCATTCCATGGCTGTTTATCAGGCGCCTATATATATATATATATATTGTGTATATACCTTATCTCCTGGGGCTGCCTCGGCGTCATAAGCCACTCCATACTCAGAGCATGGAAGGCTTGTGGCCCCCAAAGAACTTACGCTATTTCGGTACTGTCCGGTCAGCACGACCAAGACTAGCTTAACTCTAAGGATCGTCCGGGTCATCGGACCCCAGGACCGGCATATCCCTCTCACAGCTACACAGTCCGGGTCCCTAAGACCCCAGGACATTGTCATCTTACCCGGGTCTCCATGACCCCAGGGTGTCAACCCGGGTCACTTCGACCCCAGGGTTTCTTAGGCAACCGAGGCAGCCCCCATGTTGTGCCAAATGTTTATGTAAATATCTGTATGTAATAAAACTTTCTGCAATGTAATACATTTCATGTTGTTTGTAGCACAAATTTGTAATTTCATTGGTAGATCCCAGTTCGCGAAATGTCGTTCTGATGTGACCTGTAATGGGATGTCCTCAGATCTTTGTTTAGCAGTTGCAAGAACTAAAATCTGATTTTAAAGTGATTAATCTTAACCACAATAACCTGAACAAATTGTTACATATTTTGAACCAAATAATTTTCTTTTCCAGGCTTACTTGAAAGTAATGAACATACAGACAAGCTGAGGGACTCCAGTGCCTTGAACATAGGAGGATGGGTTAATATCGTATAACTATGTGTGTAAAGGATGAATCATAAAATCATGTGCAGTATGAATTTGTTATACACCTATATGTAAATAAAAAAACAGCACAACATATGACTTTTACCTTGTTTATTGTATCACAGTAGGATAACAGTTTAATACTGGACCCAGCTATAATTTGTTGAGTCTATGCTGTATATGTCAATAAAAATGTACAAATTCTTAATGTTTTCTTGTTAATTGTATCACAGTTTCAACTGGATCCAGTCTTGATTTAATTATGTTTATCTATCTGAGATCAGACAAGCATGTTTTGAAATTGTCGCAGCCATAAAATTCCCAGGCCTGTGATGGGATGACTCCACAAACTGCTGTTGGGTGCCCATGTAGCAGTCATAAAATTTCTGAGTCCCATTATCGGATTTGAACCATTGACCTTCTGATCTGAGGTCAGACGTTTCAGGTCCATGTGACCAAAGAGGTTAGTTAACCAGGGGGGCACGGGTGGCCCAGACGTCTAAGGCGCCGCGATTCGCTGTGCAGAGTTGCGTCCCTTGGGCACGCCAGAAACCTATGATTGTGGGTTCGAATCCCGGTTCACCCGGATTATGTTTCTAGGTTTGTCAGCACCATACCCGTGCTCGTGGGTTTTACCGAAGTGGTTAACGTCTCAGACCTGCGTCACTTGGGGCTTTCCTCCCACATTAAGCTGACACGCCACGATATAACTGTAATACTTTTAAAAGCGGCGTTAAACCCAACTCACTCTCACTAGTTAACCAGGCTGGCAAGGTAAGGATGTCATCTGTGATATGGCTCCACACCCTGCTACAATATCATGAAAACAGGAGCTATGCGCTTTCCAAGTGTCAAGATTTTGTTCTTGGTCAAAGACAACATACTCCTGGGGTGCATGCAATCTGCAAGAAATTCAAAATCTTCAAAACATCCTCTAAGTCTTTCTGTAAGTACAGAGGGAAACTGTTGACGGTTTACTCCATTTGTTAGTTTTTAACAAAACTTATGATACAACATTTATCCTCTCAGCGTGGCATATTGAATAAATTGAACGTTAAAACGTGTTCCTGATCTTTGTATACATCGTATAAAGCATGCAGTGTCAACAAATCATCTCAGGACCATTCTTAAATTTTATTGTCAAGTGAAGACTGGTATTATTGTTAGTTCTTTGAATTGTATGATGGTACTTATTTTTCAGAAAAGTAATCTTTTCTTGACTAAACTATAACGCCATGGTTGCTAACATCTTTGAAGCTGCTTTCTTCCTTTCTTCCCTTCTACTGGGAAACATTCAAGACTGTATCATAACTTTCACACCTTATCAACCTCACCCCAATGCTGGGTTGGGGACATGGCCCAGTATAGGACTACGCTACCCATCTTTAAAAACAGCTTGATTAGATGTTCAATCTAATAACTTACCAGTGTGCATTTAGATAACAATAGCACTATGATGTTGTGTATTAAATGGAATCTCTGTTAACTTCCTCTTGTGAAGGTGATGAAGACCATGAGAAAAGTCTTCATCCTGATCACAAGTCACTCCAAGCAGTCATTGAGGTATATCGAGGAGAACAAATGTCATGGATACTAACATCAATAACAAAGGTAACAAAAAAGACTAGGAATATTTTTCACTCTGAATCCCTGATTATTTACGATTTCTTATTTTCATAACGACAGACAACTTTATGGCAAGAATAAACATTTCAAGTATCACTTATTTTAAATTTCAACATCTGTATTAGGGCTGGGAGGGGTAACTCAAGTACCAGGGTTGGGTGGGTACTGATTAGGACCAGGGTACCCACAGGACTACCGGACCGTGGTTAGTCACGTGATATATTGTTTAATGACAAAAATAATCTAGAACTCTATGGTTACACTACAAGTCACTAATGTTTGCATTTCTTTCTGACTGTGCACCCATTCCTTCTGATTTTTCATGTGGTTTAAAAAGATATAACTTAATTCAACTTCAGTGTATGAATGACCAGATTGTTCAATACATGTATCTAAAAACGTTTTGTCAGGGCTATGCTAAAAATGTTCCCAATCTGACATTTTGAGACATCTGAGACCTACAGTGGGTACCGGGGGAGGGTCGGGAAATAGGGGGATGGGTACCCGGGTAGTAAATCTGACATGTCCCAGCCCGAATTTGTATAGATTAATTTGATGAAAGCTGTTATATATTTTAAATATTTATATTCTTATTCCAAACCTAATTCTAATTCAGGATTTGTAAATATGCTTATTTCAACATCTACTGGTTCATAGTTTTGTTTTGTCTCTTGTTTAAGACGTATTTAAGAAAAGTGTTTGTTCTTGATGTTACCCTACAAAGTCTGTAAAACAAAATTGGTCTCGTCCATACAGTAGTTCTAAAGTGTCTGTACTGTCAGGAGTCGTCTGAACCGAAAAGACATCAGACTTGAGGCGTTGAATACTCAAAGGCAAACCTAACTGGGATCATGTGCTTATTTATCACATTGTCATTTTCTGTTTGCATGTAAGGCTAACTCCTCTTTTTCTTCATAGTAAGGTATGTACAAGTGATAAAATATGTGCAGGTGTATATTCAGCTGAAGAATGATCCACAAGCTTTGTGAAATATTTCATATTTTACAGAATGACTCTAAACAAATTCCTTGTGTTAAATCCTTACGAACACGAACAATTGTGTGATATCTTGTTATTTTCACCCTGCGTTGAGATCTCATTACAATCAGATCTTAGTTCTCGATACTGCAATCAAAGATCTGAGGACATCTCAATACGGGTTATATCAGAAAGACCTTTCGCTAACTTTGACCGACCAATAAAATGACTAATAAGAAGTCGCCATAAGCTAATCAGAAAGCAGCTTTCTCAAGCTATACGACACTAGTTTCAAACTGTCGACTACGCTTTGAAAAATGTTTTGACGAAGTTCTCGATTGAAATTTGAAAACTGAACAAAAGCACATACTGGATTGGCTTATTAATGCCCTAGATTGTATGGCAGTAATGGGTAATACAAAGTCTGTTCCGTTCAAATAGGCCATTTATCCCATTGAAGCGAGAGATAGATGATGTTTTTGAAGGATTCGGAATAACCAGCGTTTAGATTTTCGAGGTTACATGATCAGAAAACACATTCCGAATGTCACTTTCTGGTTAGAGACGCTTTAACCGGTCAAATGAAAGGTCATTCCGACATCACCTGGAATAAGGTGTCCTTAGATCTTTGTCTATCGGTAGTGAGAACTAAGATCTGATTTTAATGAAATTGGGTCAGCTTTGAAAAATGGTTAGTTCTGCTCAGTAAATTATTGATCAACCTGTAAAGTAATATTATTCGTATAATAATTATTACTTTTCAGTTGGCAATACATCTATATGATCAGAGGTGTGTGGAGTAGTCTAACGGGGTGCCCCCATATGGGCAAATTGTTTGAGGCCCATATCTGGTGTCTCTGTAAAACCATACTCACAATATGATCAGGGTTACTTTTACCTTCAGGTATTGAGCATCTGCCGTAAATCTGGTATATAAAATACTGATTGAACATGTGAGAAACAGGATCGGTATTTCGAGGTGTCAGGTGAAGTGCTGTGAAAGGAAATGGCAGTTTTTGTTTTTTTGTTTAAAGCTGCACTCAGTAATATTCCATCTAGTCACCTTTTACGGCAAGCATGGGTAGGAAATTGCTGAAGTCGATTTAAACCTGTGGGTTGTATACCTTTCTACCACATAATCTGACAAGTCTCCCAACACCAGTGAAATCTCCCAGCACCACACAGCATCCCAACCCCATCCCATGTACAATCATTATTTGCTCTCACAAACACGTTTCGTTTATCAAATGTTTGTTTGTTTGTTGTTTAACGCCGCACTCAGCAATATTCAAGCTATATGACGGCTGTCTGTATATAATCGAGTCTGGACCAGACAATCCAGTGATTGACATCAAATGTTGATGCTTGCACACATTGTTATATTGTATGAAAAGCAGCATGGAAATTAGGCCATGGCGTTTAATTCCTTCTCCACCACCTAGATCCATTTTCATGAGAATGACTTCAGTTGTTATATGGGTATTGATATAGGTGGGCGATATGCATGGAAATCCATGTTGTTCCATGTACTTCATAGACCTTGCATCTACATTTAACATATACATCTGGTATCACATGACAGTACAAGCTCCACTTCCCCTCCCTTCTGACTCTGCCTCTCGGGAAGCATACTTTGACAGAGTGTCACCAGCAACACTGTTGGACCTCATGGACCGGCGTCGGATCACCGATGACCCTTGAGGCGAGGATAACGAACTAGAACGGGGTGACAAACCACCATTTGGATGTCTGTCATCGCCATGGAGATCATTAACGCGCTGTCTCAGCAGTGGTGATTTTGGTGCTGACTTGGACCCCGAAGGGTCAGAACTTGTCTGTCTGTGAAAGAAAGACCCTCTCCTGGCAAGATCATCAGGGGATATGTTTATAGAGTTTTTCCGATTTACACCATGTAACTGTTCCTCTAGAATACGACCTTCTGTCACAGAGAAAGCAAGTTTTGTCTCTAGTTGTTTGATCTTCTTCTCACTGACAATCACCATTCCCTCTGTTTCCGTCAGCTGGGGAAAACAAAAGAATACAGGAATTAGTTGAATGCGATAAAAAGGCGGGTTCGTGTCACCAGAGAGTGTCTAAAATGTCACACTTTCCATCACAATTGTTGGGGTTCGGTAACAAGGACCATCATTACTCATGCTTGTCGGAAAGGCGACCAAAATGTTTTGTTTGTTTGTTGTTTAACGGCGCACTCAGTAATATTCCAGCTATATGACGGCGGTCTGTAAATGATCGAGTCTGGACCAGACAATCCAGTGATTGACAGCATGAACATCGATCCACGCAATTTGGATCGATGACATGAATCAACCAAGTCGGCGAGCCTGACCACCCGATCCCGTTAGTCGCCTTTTAGGACAAGGATAGTCGCCTTTTACGGTACATGTAAGTATGGGTTGCTGAAGACCTATTCTACCCCGGAATCTTCACGGGTCCGACCAAAATGAGGATCCGGTGGTTACAATGTACAGGCAATAGTAACCGGCAGTCATCGTGTTATCAACCACTCGTTTGCCTAAAGACGAATGCTAATAACGTCTCCTGTAATATTTTGCAATTCGTCTTTTTAATTAAAACAGAAAAAACTGTTGGAATAGATATATGAGTATCTATTTAGAAGAGTATCAGTCAATCTCCACTAGCAACCAACTGAACCAAATATGATGTGCCATTGTTTGGCATCATGTTGAAAAAGTATGGAGAATCATGTAAATTGTAGACAGGCAAAGATACTCATCGTACTTAAATATATTATTTATGTAATAATGCAATGCTATTACAATGGCGCGTTTAACTACTGCAAATGTTAAAATGACCCCAATGGTCATCCTAGTTGTGGGTCAAAGGGTCAAGCTAGTGTTCAGTTGACGGTCTAAGTAACCAGAAATTTATCTTGTTACCAGAAAGGAACAGGCAACGATCAAACCCTTACTTTTGTATGCAAATTGTGTGAGTGGCTAGTACTAGCTGTAGGGCAGGGCATGCTTACCCTTTTCGCGAACACCTGGTGTCATCACTGAGTTTCAGCGATCTATTCCTGACATTTTCAATGATATTTTGTTTTTTACGCCCAGTTTAATCTGTTTCGCAGGATGACTGGAACTTAACGTTTCATATTTACCTGTTGTTGCAATTTGCCAATGAGTATTTCCTTCCCTGCAATATTGGAGGATGCCGAGGCCAGCTCCGACCTGTACTTCTGGACAGTGGCCTCCAGCAGGTGCTGCTTGTCCATCAGGTTGCGCCGCACAATGTCCCTGCAGAGGAAACCATGTACTATACTTCGCTGAATCCTTTTGTTTAGCTTGTTTAATTTACGACAATTGTATTTAAAGATGTTAACATTTATCTGGTAGATATTTCACATTTATTGTGTTTTTGTATATGAACTATTAAAGGTTTACAGATTTTGACGAAATGTCCATGAAATATGTATATGTATATGTATATGTATATGTATGAGGATGCAACACAGCTACGGACAGGTAATTCTCTACCTGTATTCTACATGTACTTAAATAAGTTTATACTGAGAGGGAGTTCTACAGACACCTAAGAAAACAGGATTCGAACAGGTACAGGCTAATTGTAAGGCATGCACTATATTTGCTCATCAACTCGACAGGTATGTTATTTAAACATATATTGAATTTTCAGTTTACTTTATATTTCATTTGTTGGCTCGCAAAAGTTAATTATTTCGTGTAAGATGGCAACACAATAAAGAGGATGGGAAGTGAAGGGACACACCGATTGATGTAAAAATACTAGCTTACCAGTCTTCTTCACCTCTCAGTCGAGGACTCAGTGCGCTGCTTTGAATTTTAACAGGAAAACCATAAATTTGTTGGGTATGGGGAGAATTAGTAATTTAAACAGCAAAAAGCAATATTTAGACCAAAAATCAAACACTTAAACTTAAATGGAAAACAAAAACATGTTAGTCTCTTTTCTGTGTTGGAAGTTAAAAAGCAAAATTTGTTACTTATCAGATGTTATATGATATGCCATGGGATCGAAAACTTACCAGTTTTTCCTGGCCCTCTCTGAGTGGTGTTCTGTCCCGTTGGCAGCGACCTCCTGCTGCATCTGTTCCTTGGACTCCTCCAGGTCCTGGCGCAGGGACTGGAGCTCCTGAAGCAACATATCATCAAAGGTACAACATGTGGAAGGGCACGGGTGACCTCGTAGTTGCGTCCCTTGGGAGTGTCGACACCTATAATCGCAGATTCGCCCTGACTATGTTCTAAGGTTTGTCATTACCCGTTCTCGGGAGTTTCTCCAAAGTGGCAATCGTCTTAAACCTGCACCACTTCGGGCTTCCCTCCCACATTACATCCCACAGTGAACTAATTGAGTCTTCAAAGCGGCGTTACATCCAACTCACTCACTGACTAAATGTAAGAGACCTTGAAGTATACCAAAGCATGTTTTGGTGTAACTTTAACTCAACTGGCATTTTAAACAGATCCCTTATGATTGCGTAATTGCGTATATAAAAATACACTTGATCCTATTCGCATATTCTGCGTGAGTAGATGACGGATTGTGAAATCGCGGCCGTCGGGTAATATTCAAGTCTGAGCCAGGCGAAATGGTCCACAGCATATGTTTGTTTGTTTGTTGTTGTTTAACGCCACACTCAGCAATATTCTAGCTATATGACGGCAGTCTGTAAATAATCAAGCCTGGACCAGACTGTCCAGTGATTTATATCATGAGCATCGATCCACGCAATTTGTATAGGATGACATGCATCAACCAAGTCAGCGAGCCCGACCACCCGATCGCGTTAGTCGCCTCTTACGGCAAGCATGGTTGCTGAAGACCTATTCTAACCCGGATCTTCAGGGCCGTTCGGCACGATGTTCGGCCACACATTGTCACCACCTGATGGCTCTTATGACAAGCGGTGGGTATATTATATTACTTATCCTATTTTATGATTAGCTAATTTGGCACATTTATTATAGTTGTGAAAAACAGATAACACATATGATAGTATTAACACACGTTTACAAAATTCAATGATAAAAGATTTGTTTATTTTCGTTGAAATCCATACCTCATCAAGAACTACCAGATGCTTTTGTCGCCGATCACAAATTGCTTGTCGTTGATTGAGCAATGACTCAACCTCCTGGATCTGCAAAGTAATTTACATACATAAGATAACATTGGTATTTTATGTGTGTTTCTGGTTGAACGGACGTTGCTCAGCTGCTCCTTGTATGTATTCTCAAGGATCTGGAAGCAATTATTGCACATCACTCATTTATTCTGAACCAAATGTCAGTTTTCAGTGTAAACACAGATTGCATTGCTTTTCGGGGTGATGGGATCAAGACCAGTCCATAATCGGATAACATACACACGCACGCACGCACGCACGCACGCACGCAGGCACGCACATACATACATACATACATACATACATACATACATACACAATCTTAAAATTTAGGCAATATACGGATGAAATTAACACTTGGAATAAATTCATCCTTTCACAGGCAACTTACACCAAGTGTTTATTTATCACTCAGACTTAGTGAACTTAGGCCTTATTGTGTCGTTGTTTTGTGATAGAAGTTAAGCCTGTGTGCAACGCAGACTTCAAAGGCTATGCAACTTCTTCCCATTCAGAGTAACAACACAAACGCCAGCCGTTTCCACTATGCAATACCTGTTGCTACATTACGGCATACTGCTAAAACTACATACACACATTGCCATGTCTACTGTTGTTTATTAGTAATTGAAATGAAGCTAAACATGCGTCAGTTCCATGCCCACATCGCATCTTATTCGTACGCTAACATCTCCAGACATACCGTCAAATTTTACTTTTGTAAACATGTATATTTAGTACAGACGTTCAGGTTTCATCGGAGGCACTGGTGGGAATGAGACGTCACAAGTCGACGTGAAAGCGGCGTTAAACCAAACTTACTCAGATCGCCCTTGCCCCGTGCACGCGAGTTTCTGTCTGTCTGTCTGACTGTCTGTCATACATACCTCTTTCTCATACTCCTCCAGATCCTTCTGCTTCTTTGACAACTCGTCCTCCTTATTGAGCAGCTCCATCTCTTGATCCAGGATCTTCTGTTTCTGCTGGAAGAACTCCATGCTGGTCTCCATCTCCTTCAGCTCCTCCTTCAGCTCATCCCGCAGGCTGCCCTCCTCACTCACCACACTCAGGCGTCGACTGAAAATACACAACAGAATTGTAACATTCTAGCGAAACATCTCACACACCTCTAATTGCCCCCTCTCCATAAAAGTGTCAGCCCCGTGGAGATTCTGAGACAATAGATCCTCACTACATACATAATATCTTTAGAGAAGTTATTTCGATGCGTTTTAGGTACACCACAAAATCAAATTGACAATGTGTGACTAAGCCGACAGATTCAAACGTTCATGCATTTCATAGTCAGACAACCAAACACAACATCTGCTAAATTTCTAAACCAAATATGTGTATACATGCTAAATGTTCGGTCCTGACGACATGGTGGTATACAGTTCGAGTATATTGGCAGACATGTTTTCTATTCTGGGAGACCCGTGAAGATCCGTGTTAGAATAGGTCTTCTGCAACCCATTCATGCCGTAAAAAGTGACTATGCTTGTCGTAAGAAGCAACTAACGGGATCGGGTGGTCAGGCTCGCTGACTTGGTTGATGCATGTCATCGTATCCTAATTGCGTTGATCGATGTCCATGATGCCAATTACTGGATTGTCTGGTCCAGACTCGATTATTTGCAGACCGACGTCATAAAGCTGGAATATTGCTGAGTGCGGCGTTGAACAACATTAAACTGAAACTATTCTGGGAGGTCGTTTCTGACATTATAAGAGGCTAGTTTGTCCATTTCAAGCCTGACTTAGAACATATAATATGCTGACTAGCCAGTTTCGTTTCTACAAATGAAAATCTTTGTTAAGATGTTCTGAAATAACAAAGAGTTAGGCTGGAGCTTTGGGGAAAATATGAACAAAATGACACACGCCTTACGAATCAGTTAGATGAAAGAGCTAGGAAGCTATTTTTACTTCTTTAAGTCTAGACCCGACAGATTACTGTTTATCCTGACGTGAAACTGAAATGTTCCACACAACACAATCATCTACTGGTAATGTCACATGTCTCCATGAGGAGTATAACTGTTATCAACGCTCGGGATGCCGCCGGTATCAAGACCCGAAGTGAGGCACAGACAATCGTTGGCGATTACAGTTGTCAGGGGGGACATCGGGAATGGACGGGAGCAGCCCTAAGTCTATCAGTCATCACGTCGTTATGCTCCAGTATAGGCGAAAACCAAAGATATTGTTTGTCATTTAATTTATTTGCTCGCGTCTCCAGTAGTTTCTTTTTCAATGGAGATATCTCCGCATCTTTAACGTTTGTGATAGTATTTTAATAATGAAAAATAATACGAAATTGTTCGTGCCATGAACAAATCCTATTCCCTACAACATTTACATTGGTAACTGCGATCCATCCCAGGCCTCGGGGTTTCATAGAAGATTTGCAAACATTTTGCCCAATTTGGAATATTTGGAAATAAAACCTATTTTTATATAAATATCATGAACGAATGTCTCCACCCTGTTATCATGTTGAAGTTTCAGTTTCATAACTTCTGCCATTTCGTAAAGAAGTTCGAAGTCAAGTGACGGTGGATAACACGCCACTCTGCGCCATAACTTATTGAAAGATATAACATTCTCGTCCGTTTTCTCATGACTACGTTTCTACGTACACTAACTCAAGCCATGTGTTTTATCATGTCTTGCTACATTGTTGGAGTCGTCTTCGGTAATATCGGGTGGTATTCCAGGGAGCTCCCAAGTATCCCTTGCTTGTCATTGGAGTGAGTGAGTGAGTTGGGTCTAACGCCGCTTTTAACAGTATTCCAGTTATATCGCGGCGTGTCAGCTTAATGTGGGAGGAAAGCCAGAAGTGATGCAGGTCTCTGACGTTTACCACTTCGGTGAAACCACGAGCACTCTTGTCATTGGAGCTGACACAGGGGGTTCGGTAGGTCAGGCTATGTGACTTGGCCGTGTGTCATCGTACCCCGACGTCGTGGAACATACACACTCATTGTCTCGTCTTGATTCGAGTATTTGCAGGTGACGTAGAAGGTATATTGCTGTTCGCGGGTATAAAAACTTCCAGTCTTACACGGTGATAATTTGTCATACCCATTCCTCAAACCAACGTTGCAGACATACTTCGATTTATAAATATCCCAGTGATTTGCTTTGTGATTTCCATTCGTAGCCCAAAATAATATTTCTATCAAACAGCTATTTATCAAATTCTAATTCATAGACTGATGCTGATTTAATTCGGCCTCGCCTCATTATTCTCCACGGCATGTCTTTATATCTTAATCACATTCTCAATTATCAGACATGTCATTAAACTGATGGAAATGGTGATAATAAGACTAAATATACAGGACAATAATGAAAAACGGATTTGCATTGTTGTTTAAAAACATATAAATCACACGTATACAAAATAGAATACCACATACTGCAATCACGACACATCATAGAGACACATAAAAGTTTGCTCCAAGCTATTGATATTTGATATTGCCATCGATATTTCACGCTACTGCATAATTAAATTCTATCCATACCTTTCCTATAAAACCTAACCGAAAATTAGTTTTCGTTTTTCATCATTTCCCTTCAGATCAATTCAATGGGTATTAATAAACAGCGTTTAACTCAAAGCGGTACTGCCTGATCAAAATCCTGTCAATATCAAAACAAAGCTACCGTCTTAAGGCATGCAGAGAAAATCCTAAATAATGACGTTATGAAGCGAGATATTCCATACCTGCCCAGCCCCTATGTGCTGTATGACACAACATCTGATACACGTTGACCTGATTCCACCGTTATTCGATGCAGGGAGACATTGATTATTGGTACGAGACTCCGTATTATTAATGAGGTCACGTAAACATAGCGAGGAGTCTTCAGTTACAAGGATTACACATATACCACGTTGTTTCTTACTTAATATAGATTACTGAGTGTATGTTATTTGCTTTCTGGTTGTATTTATTGCGTTTATATATCATTTGCAATTAGTGGGTATGTTCGCGTTGAGACATGTCGAGCGTGGCAACGTTTTTAGCAACGGCATCGCAACAAACTAGATGAAGAAGCTATGTGATGTAATATAGTCAACGTCAACGTCACCAACAACGTCTTTGAGTTGTCCTAACAAGATGGATGAAGACGTTATATAGTGTTACACAGACTGTCGATGATGGTCATTTCAACAACGTCACCAACAACGTCTTTGAGTTGTCCTAACAAGATGGATGAAGACGTTATATAGTGTTACACAGACTGTCGATGATGGTCATTTCAACAACGTCACCAACAACGTCTTTGAGTTGTCCTCACAAGATGGATGAAGACGTTATATAGTGTTACACAGACTGTCGATGATGGTCATTTCAACAACGTCACCAACAACGTCTTTGAGTTGTCCTAACAAGATGGATGAAGACGTTATATAGTGTTACACAGACTGTCGATGATGGTCATTTCAACAACGTCACCAACAACGTCTTTGAGTTGTCCTAACTAGATGGATGAAGACGTTATATAGTGTTACACAGACTGTCGATGATGGTCATTTCAACAACGTCACCAACAACGTCATCGAGTTGTCCCACCAAGATGAATGAAGACGTTATATAGTGTAACTCAGACAGTCGAGGATGTTCATTTCGACAACGTCGTCATTAACGTCATTGAGTTGTCGCAACAAACCAGATTAAGACGTTATATAGTGTAACACAGGCTGCCGAGGATGTTTATTTCGACAAGGTCATCATAACGTCATCGAGTTGTCACACAACAAGTTATATACATAAGTAGTGTAAACGAAAACGACAAAACCAATTCTATTATCATAAGAGCACATTGTACGATTCCGACTGTGTCATAAGCCTATGTTTTTGAATCACTATCAAATAGTGATGATACCAAATGTTTGCGAAAAGGTGAGCGTATCCTGCCCCACTTCTGGCACCCATCACACACACACAACACACACACACACACACACACACACACACACACACACACACACACACACACACACACACACACACACAAAGGCAAGTCAAATGTTCACCTGAAAAACACGGAAACATATCAGGTACAAGTCAAAATAAGGAATTGCATCGGACATCATTTTGTTAATTGATGCGTGAAATTTAGAAATTTCCTCCAAATGTCTACCATAAAACCTGTACCTGAAAAGTTGCGAAATGAAGACACCAAAGGCTGGAGCTGCTTGAAGATTGCTCAATAAAAAGAAAGTTGGCTATTGGAAAGTTGAAATCACCCCTTTTACTAAACAGACTTGTGAACAGTATTTGTTGTCACAGATATAAATATGAAAAAGATGAGGCTGTTTCACTGGTCTCTTCTCTTTCTAGTTCAGGTGGGTAAATCAGTGGAAAGAAATTGGCTATTTGATGGATATTGAACAATATCAGATCATCGATGTACCTAAAGCTGAAGTTAAACTTCTTGGCCAAATTCCCTTGGTTTGATTTTGCTTATCCGAGCAGAAATTGCGATTTATATGAATAAAGCAAAAGGAAGTAAAGAAGATTATTATAAAAGAAAGTATACCGAGTTTGTTTGTTTTGTAATTGAAAACTGAAAGAACTGTTGTTAAATTTGATTATGTCCATTTAATCATCACTCATTCCTGCAACAGTTTGAAAAAAGTAATCTGTAGCTGTGTAATTCTATGTAAAAATAAATTGGGTCAATAATTACCAGGGTAAGAAATAAAGGTGCAACTACATGACTCCCACCATGTTTGAAATGTAAATTTGTGCCGAAAATAGCAATTTTTTTTATTGATTTTCAAAGATAAGATGTCTAAGATAGACATTAACAGTTGCATTTTATGCGCTTTATTCTTTTTAATTTTTAAATATTTTAAATCAAATTATATTTTCAAAAATATAATCACGTAGAAGTAGTATGTGAGTGCTGACTAATCGCCGCTACAGTTCATATTTTATATATAATATCGCCAAAGTAAGATTGTTCAATTAAATTTGCTCATCAGTTTAAATGTCTTTAAGTGACTATTGTACGCCATGTATGTGTATATGTTGACCTATGTTTACCCTCAAGAACCCTCAACATATCTTGTAGCCGTCAACGAAATAGATGAGTTCAATTCAGTTGGTGATGTTCGGTTTCGACAACGGCATCGTATCGTTCCAAGAAGAAAGCTGAAGAAGTTAAGTAATTTAACATAGACTGTATGTGTTGTTCTTTCAACAATGGCGAAGGAAACGTCATCGAGTCAGGCCGTAGTTACAAAGTACCCTTGTCAAGCCGTGGGTAATAGAAGTACGTGTAGATAAAAGACGATTTGCTCGCGTAACAGTAATAAGATGATGCAGCAGTGCAGCCTAATGAATGATGCATGGTTATATATAGCAACCGGGTGTATAACCTGTGTTATATCATGTATAGTCATTGCCCGACGTCATTAACACTTTTTAATGGATTTTCCTTTTAAATTGCAAACAATTGGGCTTATGATCTGGTCATAGCAAGTGATCATAACAATTCACAAGTCTCAACAAACTCATAAAAGCATTCCATTACTGGAACCGTTGACGTAACACTTGACGGATTCTTTTATCAGCAATGTGTAACAGACATCGATTCTCCAGTAAAGTATCATCAAATGTACACATCACACTACGGTGCATGGAGCGTATCTTCACACATGTATGATCCTGCAACGTGATGCCGATTCAAAAACGTCTGTTTAGCTCTGTTGCTACACTCGAGCCACGATTGATACGAAGGGAACTGAGTGATGCTATTTTACGCCACAGTCAACACTTTTCTAGCTGTAATACGTCGGCCTGGTAATCATCGAGTCCGGTCCAGGGACGTATTATGCCCAGGAACTCCCAGGGGACACAGTGTACCATAACACATTAATAACATGGACTCACCTAAAACCATTTCGTGGCACCAGAGCAGTTATTTCCTTCTCACACGTTCGTCTGTGATCGTCTACACACTGTTTCTGAACTTTAATCTGAAAAAAGGAAAACCTTTACGATACACAATATACGAGTATTTCTGTTTATTTATTTGTATTTACATGTTTCAATACGCATGAGAACATTGCTAATACATATATAGGCTAACAATTGTGTTTCCGCAAGACTGAATACTTCATTACGTGCAAATATCAGATAAAATGTGAAATTACATGCACTGCTGGGCGAAAGAAAGTATAAACCTGAATTTGACGGTGGCTAAATCTGAAACAAAAAAGAAATGGTTAAACTTTCTTTGCCCGGCAGTGTATTTGTAATTAAGAAAAGAAACAAAATAACAAAATGACCACTTTGTAACTCCAACAGACCAAACAGACTCTTTGCAACAATCACACTATCAAGATTAAAATCCCACAGCGATAAGAACAACTGGTGATAGGGATTGACCCAGTAACTTGTTTACAGATTGTGTCCCTGATGATTATTGACAGTACTGGATTATCACGGTAGACATACGCTGTGAGCTGTTGCTTCCAAGGTGTGCCCGGTTATACATAACTCTGCTACAAACAATGTGAGGTATTAGCTCTGGTACAGATAACCTTGATTATCGACTCTAACTAATGCAATATGTTTGTACAGCTGGAACCCGTATCCGTCGTTCATTTCCGTTGGGTGTATGTCCATGGAGTTGGGATCTGTTGCTTGGAATACGTGCCAGTTTGTGGAGTATTGTCTGTGAGTCTGTCTACACGGCATAACATTGATCAGCATCATTATTTCAACATGGATGTAGGCCATCGGCCCATACAGCTTTAGTTACAGTGCAGCCAGCATACAGTCTTGGGGTTACACATTGCAATTAAGAAATAATAATGGCATAGTATGAAAAACAAATATTGCCTATTTTAATGTTATCAACTGACATTCGTATATTACATTTCTGTAAGGTGGGATGTATATGATATTTCTTGTGAAAATTTGACGAAGACCTGCATCACCTACAAACAAGCAAGACCTGATAGTTACTCGTTGTCTACATCTCCATAGTTACATACTTTACAGGTTCTTTCACCCCTTGTTTTTTTTTTATTATATCGACCCATTTCTATGTTTAACATTATTCAATATGTGTATATAAAACCGATTAAGCAACACAAGTGTGATTATTTAAACACATCCTTACACAAATGCTTAATACGCTTATTTATCGAACTCCAAGAAACATGTCTGCTAAAATGTTTTCAAATGGAAGACAGGTGCATGAATCTGCCTGCAGTTATATGAATGAAACTATCGGGTGTAATTCATCCGGCAATATTGAACATCCCAATTAACAACAAATAATGCTGCCCACACACGGATGCCTGTGTTCTCGCATTTCAGTGAGTTTGTGAAGTGCAATTAAGTTATTTTAGCCTTCGACAGATTCAGCACTGACGGTAAAATCATTTACAATTAATACATACACTTGGCAGGATATCGTCAGTGTCCAAATTATTTTCGTTTATGGGAAATATCTACGTCAATATTCACCGATAGTATGTATTGAAATTATGCAACGTAAAATACCAAACTTCAAGTGAGGTGTAACGGTGTTTAACCTTGTGTTCAAGATCATTGCAATTATCATGCACTTTTGTAGTCCGGACTTATGCTGGTTTTATAGTGCTGAGATACCATGCCGCAGTTTAATATGGATACCCAACTCAGACACAGCTCAGACACAGAATACTGACACAGAGCCGACCTTGTTTTATCCCGTTAATGCCGAGCGGCAGGCAGGATACCAACAAGTACACTATCTTTGGCACTCTATCCACTAGATCACGGAGGCGGTCCGAAATAACTTCAGAATCAAGCGAAGCGCAATCAGCCTAACGATTTTACCTGTGGTCATTTCAATCTGGAAAATCCATATTCCACTGATTAATCGTCAACAATACATACTCATGGTGATTGCCAATAAATTACCGATTTATACGATCACATTTCACTAAGCTTCAGAGAATTGGAAATATTGTAGGCTGTATTCAGTCTGTGTATCCGTTGCCCATACCTGTAACAAGCTCAACATTAATTTTGTATATATACACGTGCATTGCTGTACATGTCTTTACTTAAATGACTCTTTCTATTGATTGGTCGTGTTTGCTTACATAGAGACCAATATAAAACGACGAATTAGAGACGCTAAGAGATTGCCCAACAACAAAGAGTATTCATATTGCTTTGGTTCCTGAAGGGTATTGTACTCGCCACAGTAAACAAGCGCGGGTTGCTAGGACATGTGACCGTCAGCTGGAGGCAGGTGTTGCTGGTGATGATTGATTAGTGCTGTGGTGTCCTTTATGTATTAGTAACGATCTATTAAAGCGACTATACGTTATAAGATGATATCGGGGAGTGTGGTTTACACTTTAAAAAAATGTAGTGAAACGTAAATTCAAATAGGTTATATATACCGGAGGAAGAGAATTTATGGATGTCAACTTCTTTATTATGAGGAACACAACGTTTCGGAGTGTCTACTTACTCCTTCATCAGGTGGATGTGTGGTCATTCACCTGATGAAGGAGAGAGTAGATAATCCGAAACGTTGTGTTCCTCATTATAAAGAAGTTGACATCCATAAATTATCTTCCTTATGTGTATAACTTCTAAATGCCTTCCAAAGACTTTATATATACCAGCTTGCATATCTAGCGGAATGTTTACAATGTACACCTATAAGATTATAGCGAGAAAATTGAAATCATTTGAAGTTTATACATACATTGCAGTGATTTTGTTAGAATCACTTGTATTTGTTAAACAGATGTGAAAATGAACCTGACGAACAACGACTCAATGTTGAGGCACAACACACACTTTTCTGATGTTCTCTTTAGAGAGTAAGGTTCTGTTCCCAACCAGGCCACAATTGCATGAAACACGATTCCGTAACTTAAAGAAACACCCACCCTTACCTGTCCAGCAAACACACCAAGACGGATTACCACAAAAAGTGCAACGGATGACAAAATAACCCCACGGATGAGGAAATGTGAGACATGCCCAGCGTACTTCACCGACCTGTTTGAGACACAACTACCCACTCCCAACTGTGGAACACATAATGTACCCCGCGTACTTCACCGACCTGTTTGAGACACAACACACTCCCAAATCTTAACGGTGAACCACGTAGCGAACCCCGCCCACTTCACTGACCTGTTGGAGACACAGCTCCCGGAACTCCTCAACCTCTCTCCTCAGTCTCACCATCTCCTCCCGGAACATCCGCCGACATTCTGTCACTGCCTGTTCGTCCGTCACCGACTGCAACACGGCCAAAATACGTTATCTAAGCTGAAACGTTGAACTCAAAGGAAGTCAAATATAATACAACATATTTTTCCCACACAAAGCATAGGTACTATTACATTAGCTTCCTTGTCACAGTAGTGCTGTTACGTTAAAGGTGGGCAACGATCAACGTATGCTGCAAACTACAAGTCAAGGTCGAGACGTTGTAATCGTGTCAAACTGAGAGGTTGTCTGGGTGTATTTTACGTAAAACAACAACATTTATATGCATAAATTTAGAACAAAAATATATAACAAAATATACATATATAATTCAAAATGCAGACTAATAAATGTGGTGTTTCAACGAATTGAAACAAATTTGCTGTGAGCCCATAAACGTTTTCTTCTTTGTTTTACTATTTAATCTTAACCTCAAATCATATCTTTTAAAGGACATTTTAATTAATTTCTTTTGATGTTATCATCAATGAATAATGTTCAAGCCGCAAAAGGTATACCTGTTTCTTATTACTGGGTACCAAAACTGATACAACATGGTAAATAATCTTTCTTTAAATTGCCCATTATAATTTATATTTTCCACTGGTTGAAATAATAATCAATGTCAAAAGTCATGTGTAAAAGTAAATCTTTAATGCGTCTCGACCAAGCATTTATGCCGATACTGTAGTTACTTAAAAGTTAACATGCATTTAATTTTAATAAAATACGTAACACTTTTCACATTATAATAAAATGCGCTAAAACATACATATATATACGATTTAACACTGGATTCATTCAGAATAGTTTTGAAGCATGTGTTAGTAGATAAATATACTTATAATGTTCAATTGCATATGAGGAAATATCTAAGTTGCAGAATAGACCTTTATCCTTAGCCCATTGAATGATCCTAGAATTAAACACAAAGGTGAAAGCTTACGTCACAATACTCATATTATATAAATGATAACACATGGACTTTGAAAACATGCCATTGTACGACGTCGGAAGTCGATACACAATGACTCTTACCTGGGACATTGTAAACCTTAACTTATCCCAGAACCCTGTCCTCACAATCTTCTGTTCTGTACTCTTGCTTTCATTGTCAATGAGGGTTTTGGAAGATTTCAGTTTGTTTTTCACCCCTTCAACCTTTGCCTTATAATCATTCACCGATACTAGAGGTTCGACGTCGTTGACAACGCTTGAAGTGTCTGACGTCTCTATAGATTTACCATCCTCGTCACCACAGCCATTGCTTGTGGACGGTTTGCACTCGGGGGTTACCACGGAGTCCTTAGCAGAGACGCTGTCAGCAGCAACAACGTCCTTAATCTCACCCACTTCAGCATTTTCGTTTTGTGTGTCGGCGTCTTTGTGTCTCTTTTTCTTCTTTGTCGACTTCCCTTTGCCCTGCAAGTGAATATAAGAATCTCAGTGAGTAAATTGGGTTCAACATCGATTTGAACAGTATTTCAGTTCTGTGACTGCGTTTCAGCTTTTTGTATGATGAATGCCCAAGGCTGTGCAGACGTTTACCACACACGAGCACGAGTATCGTGCTGACAAACCAAGGATCAAAATTGTGGTGTATCTTGGATTTTGACCCGTAAGAAGCGGATCCTGGTACGGCAAAGGAACGTAAATCTGTGGATTTTGGCGCTTTAGACCATTAGGCCATCACTGGCCCATAAGTTCAGATGCGTACCGAATGCGTATTCCTTATTTGTGAAAAATGTGAAACAGGTATATGAGGCCATTGACGCGAATCCACTGTCAACCTGTGGCAATAATAAGCTAATGCTTGTCACTGAAGTTCAGAATAGAGTATATTAAATACATCTATTGATTTCTCATATTAACCCCTTACTCATTTTCCTTTAATGAATTAAAATGTATCAGAATCGATTTCGGAACCAAATTAATTAAGGTAAATATGTAAGAATACTGAGTAAAAGTAGGATCTGGCTGAGGTCAGTTATCTAACGTTTCAGGGTATCGAGTTACAAATATCGAATACTAAAATAATAATACATTCCACATATAGAGAGGACCCGTGAATATCCGGGGTAGAATAGGTCTTCAGCAATCCATGCTTGCGGTAAAAGGCGACTATGCTGGTCGTAAGAGGTGACTAACGGGATCATCGGGTGGTCAGGTTCGCTGACTTGGTTGAAGCATGTCATCGATCCCAATTGCGTGGATCGATGTTCATGATATCAATCACTGGATTGCCTGGTCCAGACTCGATTATTTACAGAGCGCCGTCATATAGCTGGACTATTGCTGGGTGCGGCGTAAAACAAACAAACAAACATATAAAGAGGGACAACAGAGTAATGGTTCGGTGCTCTGTAGATTCACAGGCCTACAATCACCTAAGGGATAGGCACCCTTGTCGTGTAGAGAGGCTTGACATTTAAACACAATGCCAGCTTTGTAATGAGATGAAGCAATGATCATGAAGTGGAAAAGTGGAAATCAATCGTACTTCATCACTTCAATTTTATTAAACCTATAGGTTGCAAGACTAGGTTAAATGAAATAACCTCTCCTCAAGGGTTTTCATTACCTCATCTCTACTACAATGAATGGAAACCTCTTGATACTTGATGGAGGCAATTCAGGTGTGGAGTGTTTTACCAGCACACGTACTTACCTTGATCAGAGTATTTCTTACTTATTGTACTCGTCTTGAAAAATCTCTGTCATGTATTTGATAAAATATAGGCATGTACACATGGATCAGAGACACTATTTCACATTTTGTGATGGGTATTTAGCAGTTGGGGATTCATAGACACAAGATATATAGATTTCATCGCCTGTATTCTTTAACAAAACAGTTTCCTTCACCCGATGAAGGCGGATAACGTCGACTCTAAACGATCGGCCCATTTATCCTGTGTCTCTGAGGACCACCTGTGCGCAGCAGCAGCTTCGCCATTCTGTAGTTTGAGGAACATTACCAACCACGTGAATTAATTAAATAGAATCCCAATGACTGAATGAAATCATAATAATCATAACAATCAACATACCTTAAATAGATCTGAGGCACGTAAAATGAAAACGCTAGCTGACATGGATAACGATTATGTGACTGTGCAAGACTATGCAAGACCCTGAAGAACGCCCACACAAACTCCTGTGTTTGTGTATGTGTGTGTGTTGGTAAGCATGGAAGGTTTCGCTATTACTGTGTAAGACGTTCCACTCTGTGCACAGGAGATCAATTGACATTATGAAGTGGAATATTTATATTCGCTTCACTTGCGTTGTCTGTGAAGGTTTCCGAAACAAATGTAATATAAGGACGATGCTTAGCATGACAAAGGCAAAATGGTCCAACTGTTGATAGAAGGCGATGCCAAATTGGTACATATGTTGATACAGAAAAAGATCTCATGTTGCCATCACTCGGCTTTGGATAAAGAATGTTCCGTCAGTTCATGCCAAAATTATTACCCTGTACCCTTAGTTACTGGGGTTCTTGAAAAGTTCTTCGTGTGCTTTTCATAATTCAACAATTTGAAAGTATAATGTGACCATCATGATGAAATACGCTATAAGTTGTCGTATAGGTTTCTTGTAGCGACATGTCCTTTTCTAAATATTTCACTCATAGCACTGTTCAAGCGCCATTTCTTTCGAAATCTTCCTTCGTGATTGAGAATACGGAGAGTCTACCCCCCCTGGCCTTGACAGATGCAGTGATAGCTACAATGTATAAATGGCATATCGTACATCTATAATACAGCTGGAATATTGCTGGCTGTGGCGTAAAACAACATTACCTCACTCACACAATCATATAATCGACATCTTCTACGATTCTGACTCTATCATGAGCATGTGTTTATGAATCTCTATAAAATAGTGATGCTACCAGGTGTTCGCGAAACGATGAACGTATCATGCTCCACTAATGGCACTCGTCACAAACTAATGCAAAGGCATGTCAACTGTTCACTCGAAAAAACACGGGAAGATATGGTACGAGTAAAATAGGGAATTGCATCGGACACTATTTTTGTCACTGATGCGTCAAATTTGGAATTGTCCCCCACATAAAACAGTTTAAAAGCTTTACTGAGGCCTTGAATTTTGTAACCTTGATCGAACAACTTCTGAGCAAGAGTCGTATGACGCTCTTTGAAATCTTCGTAGAAAGAGCATGCTCGATTGTACCTCAAAAGTTATGAAATGTAAACACCAAAGGCTGGAGCTTCAGGAATATTGCTCGACATAAAGGAACGTTGACTATTGAGGAGTTGAATTCATCCTTATTTTCATAGTCGACTTCTAGAGTGTGAATCTTTTGACTCATGTACAGAGATACCAGGATAAAGAATCCCGACACACTGCTGTTTTAATATTTATTCATTACCAGCGGCATGACCAGTTGATGTGTTGTTTTTCCAATATGATATAGGATGTCAAGATAAAAGAATAGTGCATGGGTTATTAACACAACGATACTGTTAAATAAAGTAAAATAAGGATTGCATTTGACATGAGAGCGAATAGGGTATAAGTTTCAAGGAACTATATGAACACTGAATATTCTAAACACCCACTTTATAATTGGCGTAGGTGTAACAACCAAAGCCACACGCCGACTTACACCCGGACAACAACACTCTCATTCCAGGCCAATGATTAATACAAATTCGACACACAAAACGAAAATTATATAGCATGTACAACAGCTTTTCTGATCTCATATTAACCTATGTTTGTTGATTGTGAAAAAGATAAACCTACCTTATATTTTACGAATATTGACAAAACTGTACGCCTCTATTTTGTATACACTTTCACATTCACCATAACAACTGTATGCCAAGGTAATAGACAGTATATGGACTGTCAGACAGCCTTAATGAGAATGGGTGATTCAGTGCAGTGTTACGCGAGAACAAGTCTCAGGTTCCACTCTTACAGTGGAATAAAACATGCCCAGTGAGTGCCATGCCTTTACACACCAGTACAGAAACATGCCATGCGTGTCATGATGAGTTATGCGTAAGTGGGTGTTTAGTTCCACTCCAATACTGTCGGGTAAAACCATAGTATACTCACAGGCTAAAGTAACTGCGATCACGTGACTATATTGCTATATAATAACCATTGTGACGTTATTGAATGAATTCAATAATTGAGACTGGTTCTTCTCATGCGTTTTATATTTACGAATTCACCAATCTTCTATAAGAGAGCACATACAGAGAGTGATAGATAGATAGAGAGATAGATAGAGAGATAGATAGATAGATAGATAGATAGATAGATAGATAGATGGCTAGCTACGCGATAAATCGCAAAGAATAATGAAGAACGATGTGTGGCCATGGTTTATTTCACGATAAAACAACATTTCTGGAGATTTTTCGAACATGCCCTCACAACCTGATGACGTATATTGGACGACGTTATTTTTGAGAGGGGAGTGTCTGGTGAGTTTTTCCCCATAGATGAAGCTGGGCAACGCAGATAAACGCGATGGCAGAACGATCGCATCCAAAAGCGGGAGAGATATGACAATCGGTATTCGGAGAAAAGGTTCAGGTAAGAGACGTGAGGATTGTGAGCATATGCGGGAAATACCCACCTGTGCATAAAATGGACTTGCCCGACATTGCCGAGGTCGAATTCTTTTGAGGGAGTCCTTATTATTTTAATAAGGGTAAATATCTTTAGAGCTTGTACATTTTATAATCATCTTTAAAGAGGCTGCACATAATGTTGATAGTACATGTAAGAAATGAACAACAGCCCCTCATGGTTTATTCTCCCTGCAGTGTTTTATTGTACGATAAACAACCACCACGAGTCGTTTATTTCTTAAATACACTGTAGGAACCGATCTGTCGAATGTATGAATAATAAACTTTTATGCTCGCTGCATTCAATCGGTATACAATGTTTCGTTCTTTGTGCTTACCAGTTATGTATGTCTGCGGCTTATTGCAATTTCAACATGTATTGACCTCGAACCAGATCATTTTACGAGCAGTAGTTCCCATATCAATTTTCACTAGGCGAGTCAACCGTTAGGACAAATCCATACCTGAAAGAATAGCCATTTACAGATATAAAAGTACTAAGCGTTGCAAACATTATGAAAGTACCTTACCTGTCACATATGTACCCTCAGGGACTTACTTCCTCGCCTATAAATCCCCACTAACAACCCATCTCTGCGAAAGCCCGAGGGCCGACCTTCTACATGAACAGCTATAGGAACGGCGCGGTCATTATTTTCTTAAGTGAATCAATTTCCAGCAGTCTGCATGTATCGATATTATCCCCGACTAATTCTACTTGTGTCGACTCAATGCTAAATCCCCGATAATGCCAGGGATTACGGTGATGCAATAAGTCAGACGTATCGGAATTGTATGTGACGT